TCAAATGCCCTATTTTGTATAATCCTAAGAAACTTGCAGTGTGTAAAAGGCAATACATAAAACAAAAATCTGGTCTAGATTTCCCAGCAAGTCATGTAATGGGAGATGGAATTTCATTCAGCAAAATTAAATGAAGATTAACTGCAGAGATCTGAACAAACATGCATTATTAAGATGCTGCTGTCATGACCTCGCTCATGCTGCCATAGCATAAAAATCAAGACAACAAGGATTTATGACTAGACGTCCCAGGCATTCAAATCTCTGCCATCAGTCCTTACACAGCCACATAAGAGATTAAAATTAGGTCCTAAAAATCTTCAAAAATTATCTTTTACTGCCCCCTACGCACAAAGGAAATGTGCAAGTGTACATCCCAAAGCCAGGGGAATATTAGAAGGATGAATTTGACATCATATAGTAAAGCCTGAAATATTTATAGATCAGCACTGTAAAAAAAAAAAAAAAATCAGAAGCTAAGATACAACAACGTATTCTACAAATAGATTTTTAGGCCCCTTTCTGCTCTCACTCATCCCATTTTAAGTCAGAGTGATGTAATTCCACTGATTTCAGTAGAGTCAGTGTGAAATCAGAATCAGGCCCTGCGAATTTAAGTACTCAACACATGCAACTCAGTATTCTGTAAACTGGTTTTTAAAATTATCTTAATTTGAAAGACAAAAGCTCTCATTGCACTAATGCGCAGCAGCAGCTAAAGCAAGGACAACTCTGTAAAGAAGGATGCTTTGGACTTACCCAACAATGGCACCTTCCATCTTGGAAATCAGACAACTCGATAATGAAGAATTAGTTTCACATTTCAAATTCTTCTGCATGTTAACATCACATCTTCAGTGTTTATTTTTATTACAGTAAATGACTGCACCTATGTGATCATTCCACAATTCAAGCATTTACACAAATTCATTAGTAAGTCAGTCTGCATATTCCCTGGGAGATTCATCAGAGGCAAAGCCATGCATTCTCATAGCTAACGATACAGACAGACACCTATTTAGCCGCTCCCATGCAGCAATATGGTCATATCCTGCCATCGTTCTGTGTATGGAGCTCCACTGAAGTCAATTGGAGTTTTACATTAAAATTAATAGCAGGATATGGCTGTAGTTAAGAAACCTATCCTTGACAAGCAATTTTTAAAAGAAGAATGAAATGCAACTTTCAGACATTAAACACACACAGCCAACACATAGCTAGAGGAAATACAAGAGAGTCTTCCCCCGGGCCTGCCTGAGGCCAGGTCTCCAACTATAAACTTACATCAGTATAGCTACATCACGACGGGGTATGAAAAATGCACAACCCTGAGCGATGCAGGTTATACCAACCTAGACAGAGCTATGTCAATGTCTTGTCAACATAGCTACTGCCCCCCACAGAGGTGGATTAAATATGCTGACAGGAGAAGCCCCCCATACCATCTTCACTGAAGCGCTGCAGCATTTTAAGTGTAGACATGCCCTGAGGATTCTTTGAAGGTATTTAACTGCCACAGGTGAGGTTTTTAGTTGGAATATCCATGGGGGAAGAGATGAAAGAAAATACTTCCCAAGTCTAAGCTTTCTGAATTAATCCAAAATCCTAGACAGCTACAGAACACACAAGAAGTAGTTTACTCTTACAAGTAGCCTCCCTGAACTCAAGTGGGTCTACTAGTGTAAGAGTTGCAGGATAGAGTCCCTAGATTGTATGGGGTAGGGGATTGCACTTCTGGGATAGCCAACCTACATAGAGTCTGCACAAAGAAACCAGTTTAGGGAGGAGGGGATTAATAAAAGACTCCAGCTCCACAGACAAAATAAGGGGAGGATGAGAGGTAGAGACAGAAAACTCCGTCTTAGATCCTACAAAGACCAAGTGTCAAGCAACAGTGAGTTTTTGTTGCCTTTCTGACTTTGGTCACTACCAATGCAGTGATCATAAAACTTTAGGAAGCAGTTGTAGTTTACTGTTGTGGTCATTTGCTTGTTCATAAACTAGACAATGGACTATGCATATTTTTATTTTACATTGCACATTCCTTGTGCTGTTGCTAGATTCTATTAGTCAGTGAAACCTTGAGGTCTAATCTCCTCTAAAAATTGTTGCAAAAATGATTATTTTTTCCCTTTAGTGGTTTCAAGTCATGTCACAAATGAAGGCTACCAAAAAGAATCTTTTATTGGACCAACTTCTGTTGGTGAGAGACACAACCTTTCAAGCTTTAAGCCTGGAGAAGAGCTCAAGGTGGCTCAAAAGTTTGTCTCTCTTACCAACAGAAGTTGGTCCAATAATCGATATTACCTCACCCACATTGTCTCTCTCATATCCTGGGACCTCCACAGCTACAACACTGCATACACAAAGAATCTCTTTTTCTTTTCTCCAGTGACCTCTAGTGGTGAATACGTGTGACAGTGAAGCCAAAGGAGGACTGTACCCTGTTGCAAATAGGATCAAAGCGTGTTAAGGGTGAGGAAGATCTAGTAAGTGGAAAATAGTTTCCCTGCAATGGAGACACAGATACTAAGCTGACACTACACTAAGGAAAGGTAGACATTCAGATACAGGTCCCCATCTTCCCCCATGACAGTTAATGAGGCAGTATGAGCTCGGGGGAGAAGCCTGCTAATCTCAGAATTTCCCCTTGAGAAAAGAGATGAAGTATCCTCAGACAGCTTCATTCTGCATTCCTTGCACTCCCATGTTTCCCACTGAAATCAATTAGAGTTTTGGGTGTTGAGGCAATAAAAGATCAGGCCTGCCAGATTTATCTGCAACTGTCTCTTAGAACTAACTGGTAACTGCCGTTACTGTTATGGACTACAAAGAAACGTGCACACCAATTATTTTCATTGCACACGCAACTGAAACTTTACAGTTATTGCCTCGGATGCCTTACTAGATAAATCCAAACAGATATGCACTATAACAGGAATAATGAGCATGTGGCAGAGGCAGGAGGTTTGTTTGTTTGTTTTTGGTGGTGTGTTTGTGGGTTTTTTTGTGGGTCTTTTTTTTTTTTCTTAAAAAACACACTTAGCTACTGAGAGCGTTTAATAAAACCAACATAAAATAGTAGGCCTAGTTCTGTAGTAGAAAACTCATCTTTGCACTTGGCAAAAATAACTTCTGTCCAATAACTTCTGAGGACACTTCCCATTTATCGTTCAGGAACACCACTTTTTCCTCTACGAACCCAAAGTAGAGTCAATATTTGTGCATGCACCCGTATTTCCAAAGAGAGAAACTTCAGGCCCTGTCCTAGTCCCATTGCATTTCAAACCTTTATTTTTCTTCTTTTTTATTAGACATTTATGCTGCAATCACCCCTAGAGGCATCAACCAAGTCAGAGCTGCGTTACTCTACAAATAGGTCAAATATATAGCAAGTGACAGTCCCAGTGCAAAGAGCTAATTCCTGCTCTCTTAAATTACTGAAAGACTCTCCAACTTTCTCCTTTAGTCAGGAAAGACAATTGAACCAAAACTTCATGCTAGCAAGCACTCTTGTGACAACATGAACACAGCTCACTGTCGCAGAGTGTCCCCTTGTTGCAAGACCAGGTGTTGCAGCACTTGCGCCTGAGTTTCCCCTTAACACTCTTCAGCCTACTCTTGCCAGAGAGGTGACATGGCCCTGCAGCCAAGCCACTTTAAACATTCAATCCCTTCCAGGGTAACAGAGTCCCTTAGTCTAAGTCCAATGCAACACCAAAACAAAAGAAAGTCTTCTTTACGGCGGGCTTCCAGCAGCAATGGCCTGTCTCACTATCTCACCTCTGGATCCAATCACCCCAACCATCCAGGTCAGGTCTACCCTCCTTCAAAGGGACCCTGGCAGGCCACAGCCAATTCCTAGCTCACACTCAGCTTTTTCCCTCTTTAGGAGCAACCCATCCGCTCCCACCCCAGCCAGCACTCAACTGCTGGACTTTCCTCCTCAGGTAGCTCACCTGTTCTCCTCCTTAGCCACGGGATTCTGGCCTGCTTCCACATGGAGCTCCTCTTCTTAAATCCAACACCCAGCGCAGGTGTAGCAGGGTGGGACTAACTGAACAGGGCTGACTGGCCCTTACAGGGGAAAGCCTCCCTGTTACCCAAAGCATTCAGCTGTCTAACATGACTGAAGATAGTATCATGCCACAGTCTCTATAAAGCAGGGGTGGGCAAACTTTTTGGCGCAAGGCCCACATCAGGGTTGCGCAACTGTATGGAGGACTGGGTAGGGAAGGCTGTGCCCCCCCCCAACAGCCTGGCCCCCACCCCCTGACCGCCCCAGAACCTCTACCCCATTCAACCACTCCCTGTCCCCTGACTGCCCCCAGGGACCCCCTACCCAACCCCTGCACCGCCGCACGCATCCCCCTGCCGCCACCCCCTTACCATGCTGCTCAGAGCGGCAGGAGCTCGCAGCCCCGCTGCCCGCGCAGCGGCGGGGGAGGGGGAACAGCAGGGGAGGGGCCAGGGGCGAGCTTCCTGGCTGGGAGCTCATGGACCAGGCAGGATGGTCCCACGGGCCGTAGTTTGCCCACCTCTGCTATAAAGGCACATCATCGTCATCTGCTTGTCCACCTAAAATGGAGTTTTATCCATTGTACCGTGGCATCATGGGTGACACTAAACAAATCATATTGTTCACCCCCAACTGGAGGAAAATTTTAAAAACGAAACATCTATGCTACCAAGAGCTGTACTCTGTGCACTTTTCAATCCACATTTTTCCAGGCGTCAGTGCCCTTTATTACACTCCCGTAACTTTAAAATAAGACTATTATTGCTAAATCTTTTGAAGGGGGAAAAGAGCACTTCCCAACCTACCTCCAAATATTTTAAGTCACATTTTTGTTGTGTCCTTAGGTGATAGCCAACTGAGTTTACTGCTTAGTTTATAATTTACCTATATAGCTACAAGCCAGGGGCAGTACTATTTTAATCAGCTCGCCACCTTGGTGATAAGGAAACTCCAAGTACTGAGCTTGCTCTAATAGCAGTACCTTGGCCTTCTTCATGTGACCCATAATTTTGCCCAGATCTTCAACGTCAATGACAGAGTTACGGCTTCCATCTTCCTCAGCGCCCGACTCCTCCTCGCTAGTGGTTTCAAATAAATCCTCCACCTATGCAATAAAGATTGCAGAAGGAATTTTAGAAGCTTGCGTACTATATTAAATATAAACCCCTGCCTATTCGAGCCTGCTGATTCAATTACACAACATGCGGCAAAGACTTCTGGAAGGGTTAACAATGGGACATTTGACCTATACAAGGCACACAACTCCCAGCTGTAGCAATAAAAAGCCTGATGAATTGTTTTTTTCAATGAATTTAAGAGTACACAAAGCATTTGACCCTCACTCTCCTGGGAAATCTGGCTTCCAGATTCATTCCACTCTCTCTCTTTCCTGATCCGTCCATTTGCCACCATGTCATTGGCAGTTTAAATCAGAGGTTAGGACAAAGGCACCCAACTCCCATGGGATTTAGGCACCTCATTCCCTTAGGCTCTTTTGAAAAGCCACACCAGAGTGATCAATATCACAGTGAACAAGACAGGAAGGGAACTGCTGTTCAAACTGTAAACTCCTCAGGGCAGGGGGCTTGTCTTACTCCCCCGTAAAGAGCCAGGCACAGCAGCTGTCCTGTATCAATATTAACAAAGCCTATTCCTCTCGTGGTAGCCTAAGGAAGAGGCAGCCTTGCACCTTCAAACCCATCCAGGGAGAAGAGCAACTGTCTTCTGGTAAGGTCTACAGTGCACTAGAAATGATGCCCTTTGCTCAAGATAGATGATTCAAGTGTCTCAGCATCAGCAGCTGTTGCTTTCACTTTCTACAGAGCAAGAGAGATGATCCCCTAATCAAAATCTGTTATTAACACAAACACTGTGGGAGAGAGACAAGCAGTTAGACATGTAAGTATTCAGAGGAAGAGACAGAGCTGCCTCAGACAATGCTGCCAATCTGCAGCTGAAAAGAGACCCTGGATCAAAGCAGCCCACCTGACCAGCGACAGACTGAAATGCTAGTGGCGCTGTTAACTGCTCCTATGGCACAGTAAAGAAGAAGCTTCACCCCGGCGGTGGAGATAACGTAAGACCCCTCTGAGAAATCAACATGGCTCCCCTTTATGTTGGCTCTGGCACATCCTTGCTCCCATTTAAAGGGAAACTTCCCCGTACCATTCCCTCTAACTCCCCTTCACACACACAAGCTTCAGTTCTACTTCTTTTCTGGCCCTCTACTTGTACCCTCCCCAAGGCACAGGTGTGAGGGAAAAGGTCACATAGTGGATCCAAGCCCTTAGAGCTGGGGAAGCAAAGGGAGGAGTCCAATACCGCTCCAAGAGAGCCCACAGATTTCCTTAAACCAACCCAGCTAAGAGAGACTTGTCACAGAAGTAATGCCCTGTGATTTTTGGACCTACCTCAGTGTTCTCCTGCTCCGACACCCTTTGTTCATGATCTGATCCCTCCTTGCTCTGCTTCCCTTTGGATTTGCACTTGCCTTTCTTACAGTTCCCGCTACAGGGCTTCTTCTCCCCTTTGCAAAGTGCCTGGAGCCTAGCAAGGAACCTGGCCTTCCAAGCGTCGAAGTCAGCCTCGATGCTGCCGTGCTTGCTTTTGGCTACATTACAGTCCCCCTCCGCACGAGTCATGACACGACTAGCACTGAGCATCCACAGCCATTTATCAATGTTTTTTCCAACCTAGGACAGGAGACGGAAAAAAGCCCATTAACAAGGCCCAGGAACTCACAGAGACAGTAATTCAGAAAACAAATTGGACAGGAATTTAGAAAGATGTGGCTAGATGCACGGCCATAGCAGGCTAACTAAGTGATTGGGAACCAGGGATTTCTGCGCTCTAATACCAGGTCTGTTAGATGCAGAGTATGAACTTAAACCTTAGCTCTATACCTCATAGTTTCTTCATCAGTAAAACAGTATTGATATCACCACTGAGTCTGTCCAATTCAGGGTGCTAAACTGTAGAAAAGATGTGAACAAACTGGAGAGAGTCCAGAGGAGAGCAACAAAAATGATAAAAGGTTTAGAAAACCTGACCTGTGAGGAAAGGTTAAAAAAACCTGGGCATGTTTAGTCTTTACCAAAGAAGGCTGAGAAGGGACCCAATAACAGTCTTCAAATCTGTTCAGGGCTGTCCTAAAGAGGACTGTGTTCTCCGTGTCCACTTGAGGTCGGAGAAGTAGTAATGGGCTTAATCTGCAGCAAGGAAGATTTAGGTTAGGCATTAGGAAAAACTTTCTAACTCTAAGCATAGTTAAGCTCTGGAAGAGGTTTCCAAAGAAGGTTGTGGAATCTCCATCGCTAGAGGATTTTAAAAACAGGTTGGACAAACACTTGTCAGAGATGGTCCAAGTTTACCTGGTCCTGCTTCAGCACAGGACGCTGGATTCGATGACTTCTTGAGGTTCATTCCAGCCCTGTATTTCTAGGATTCTATAATAGATGTGTTTTAGGGGATAGTTTTTCATTTCACAGCATTTGCTAGTAATAACTAAACCTATGTATGTAGAATACCAGGTGTTGCCATCAGGCCATCAAGCACCGTACAAGTACATTAGTCTGATAAACTACATATTTTTTCTCTTTCTGATTTAGATAATCTCAGTCAGTTCATAAGGTTAAACACCATCAGACTATCACATAGTTGGCGAATATCAAGATGTACATGATCCAGTATAGTAAATGAAATGCAGAGAAAGGAGTACTTTAAAAAAGGGAAAGAGGCAATAAGTCAGTGGTTTATTTTGCTCTTTAAAAAACATACAGAACAGCCTCTGACAAAACAAATATAACAGCTTTATCTACTAATTACTGGTTTTAAAAGCCTGAAAATTCATTTCACAATGAGAGATTTACAAAATGTATTCTGTAAATATTACAAAGGCTGGGGATCAGAGTTACTATATAGTTTTACAAGTGTCTGAATTGCCATCCTGGGGAAAACAATCCACAGGTTAACATAGTACCAATAGGAATCATTCCTCTTCACTTTGAATGGGTGCTGCACTTGAAGGGGAGTTGGATCTGGCCTTAAATACTGCATCCTTTAAACATCTAATTTTCCAACTTCCTCTTAAAAGCAAGGAATCTCCAGAACACTAACTGCCTAACCTGAGTGGTGAAGAACACTATCAATCTCACTGATGTCTGCAGACACCGAAGATGCTTAGCAATTCTTCAGGATCAGAAAACAAAAAGAAAATCCAGAGAAACTCACCGTGTTGTAGTGGTCCACATATAATGAATTTCCCAAGCCAAACACAGCGTATCTCATGCCTTTCAGATAGGTTTTACCAAACCTAAAGTCATTCACAGCCTCTTCTAACCATTTGCAGAACCATGCTGCATTTTCAGTTGGCTGTCCATCAGTGTAGGTAGCAACCAGAAACACACAAATATTTTTGCTGATTGCCTGAAGACAGCATAGCAGAGGAAAAGAATATTTTAAAGGGATGATCAGTGCATTTTCTAAAACAACTTTAATATTAGAGCGTCAGGAAGAGAATGTTATTGTCTTTTTAGAAGTCTAGGTATGAAGTCTAGGGCAGAAAACCCTAGGCATGAAGCTGGTAAATTCACTTTGTATAAACCATGGATTCAATAAATTGGGAAACTGTATTAATAAACATTTTGCCCCATACAGCATTTCCATTCAAAGATCTAAAGGAACTTTATGAACATTAACTAAATAAATCTCAACACCCCAGTGAAGTAGGGAAGAACTATTACTACTCCCAGACAGGACACTGAGGCAAGGACTTGAGAAATATCTCTGTCTTACTGAGAAAGCTTGCAGCAGAACCAAGAAAAGAACTCAGATCTCCCAGGATCATAGGTCTGTGTTCTAGACAGACTATCATTCTACCTCCTCTTAGAAAAGAAATAGCAAGTTGATGTCAAATAAGGGCTAATATTAAATTACTTCAAGGTGGTGTTTTAGGCTGTAAGAAGCCCAGCATTGAAGGTTCCCATTTACCCCAAAGATACACTCTTCAACACAAATCTTATGGGATTTGCAGAGAACTGGGGAAGGTCTGCAGGGAGATGCAGAAGAGATAAGACCTCTCAACAGACCCAGGGAATTGTTACATTTATATACTTTACCTCTCTAGGAAGGGGAAGAAAGAAAAATACTAACCTCTTCGGCTAGACAATCATCTGGATCATAGTTTCTCATGTTAATGATTTCTGCAGGCAAATTAAGGGAGAGAATAGCTTCAGCAAGAATTGTTGCAAATCCCTGGAGAGAGAGACATGGAAAGGCTTTATCTGCAATAATCCAACCGAAGGAAGAGCCAAACAAATTCAAGAGAGGGCGTTAGAAACTCACAAACCTTTTAACAAGAAGCTGATATTTCATATGGCTATCACGGACAGAAATAGAACAAAGACAACTATAAAACACACATTTTCTTTTTTTAAAAGTGAAGTGCATTTGGTTTTGGAAAAAGTGAGTATTTCTACAGACACACAAAAATCACTCAACTTTAATCAGTTTTTGTCTTTGTCAGTGAAACATTATAAAGCAGAATCTCTCCACACAAGAGGAGTTTAAAGTGACACCAACAGATTAATAGAGTATATTTTAAAGGGTTCATGTAATAACCCTTAGATTTTTCAAGATGAATAATTATTTAAAAACTAATTTCCTCTTCACTTTTTTCATTGTATTGGACAACAAAAACCTAGTCAATTTCACTTTCAGGTTCTTGGACAATGCACTGTTTGCAAGCCAAAGTTACACTTCAATAACATTTTGAATTAACTTTGTCCAAGTAGAATAAAGTTACTTTTACCTTAGCAGTGCCAGTCTGAGAGCCATAGAAAACCTTCACCCCAGCAACATAAACCTCCTTCGTCTTTGGCATTGTATATCCATTTATTAGCACATCTTTTGTTACTTTAGATGGAGTTAGCTTCTGGGTGGATTTTTCATCCTACAAAACAATTGTAGTATCCCAATCTTACCCCTTTCAAACTCATCTTAAGCTAGTTTTCACATAAAATGCAAACCACCTGGTCAGATCTTCAGCATTAGGTTGGTGAGCGCTAGCAAATGTAACAGTGATCATTTTTAGAGTTACAACTGGCCCATAAAAACAATCAAACTAGCAACCTCTCATTTAAATAAGCCATGTTTCTGTAATCTTATCTCAGACTATAGGGCGTGACTTGATCACAGCAGGTGTCTGAAGACATGCCTTCCTCCCATCCCACATATCTACACACTTCACCCACATACACAACTGAATATTTTATTAGGGAGTTTTTACCCTCTTGAATGGCATACTCCTGCTCCTAGTGAAATCATGGAATTTTTATCATTAACTTCAATGGGAACAGGACTTGATTCTAAAACATCAGGTGTAAGCAGCTGGCAGAGATAGGATTCTACATTTGAAAAAGTGCTGGCCCCGTCCAGAATGTCAAATCTTCACATAACAAACAGAAGCGATTATGTGAGATCAATTCACATGTCGGTTACAAAGCAGTAAAATATTCAGCAGGTATACTTTTGATATATTTCTAACACACTTCAAGTACTATGATTTTCGAGTATGCTAAGCCACATTTAAACTTTAAGAAGTTAGGACTTGCACGTGGCCTAGAGCGGACTACACTGAAATGAAATGCCACATTCCCACATCAAAGTGGGATACATTTCAGTAGTAATCAAAGGATTACTGTTGTAACACTCTGGGATACTTCCAGTTGAAAGACTATAAATGCTAGAAGTGTGAAGTCTCAGTTACCTGCTTTTTGGCTTTGGTGGTAATGAACTGAAAGCAGATCCAAATACCGATGCCAAAAGCTGCACAAGAGTAGATGTAAAACCTGTTTAGCCATAAGGACATCAGATGAGTGTAGAAGAAGCTCCATGTATCCCCTGATGCATCTAAAATGAGAATAAATCATGACTGCCCTCTTCCAACTCAGCAAAAGCAGCAGTAGTTTCCTTCATCAACCATTTTAAAAAAGCAACACACGCACACACAGCATCTACCAGTCTCATGACCTTAACTATTCTCAGTCTCCAGATCACGCAATGACAGGCAGAAATTGAAATGGCTTTTGACTATGGACACAACCATTATAAATGAATTAGGGACTAGCTGGCCTTTCACCCAGTAAGATACTGCTGCATAGACCGAGCATAACTACATTCTCATATGCAGGCCAAAGCCTTGGACTGTTACATGACATCCGAAGTTTCAACAACATAGCTCTGGTGCGCTTAGTCTTAAACATGTTCTATGCCATTATAAAAAAAAAAAAAGAGGAGTCCAGTGGCACCTTAAAGGCTAACAGATTTATTTGGGCATAAGCTTTCGTGGTTAAAAAACCACTGCAGATGAATCTGAAGAAGTGGGGTTTTTACCCACGAAAGCTTATGCCCAAAATAAATCTGTTAGTCTTTAAGGTGCCCCGGACTCCTCGTTGTTTTTGTGGATACAGACTAACACGGCTATCCTTCTGATACTTGTGCCATTATAGACTCTTAAGAATTAATACAGTCTTAATGCAAAAGCCAAACTTCATCTCATTGGCCTCAGTCTTGCAACAAATCCAATGAGTGCAAAACCTTGCACCTATATAGAGCTCTGCTGACTTCAAAGAGCTCAGTGCAGGATTAGAACCATTACAAACTGCTCAAATTATACAAGTTTTAATAAACTGTGTATCAAGACATGCTTAATATTTTGATTAAACTGAACATACTTTATCAGCATTATACAAGGCGCATAACCACAAGGTTTTTATTTAAAAACAGGATTAGCTTTTAAAGTATAGTATTAAGAGCAATATACGTTACAGTGTAGTAAACAGTACTACTTCCCCATTCTCTGTCTTTACTGGTTATGTGCAAAATGTTCAAAGGCTTAAAGATCATAAGCTAACAAAATAAGACTAACTCATTAAATTAATTCTTTCTGAAGAGCAGGGATTGAGCATTCACATTATTACTTCTCATGCTCCTAACTGGGCTCCAACATCATGACTCTAATAGGTACTGGAGTCTGAGATCAGGTCTGCTATCCAACAAAAGAGTGCAAGTAAGGGAAAGGAAAGTTTCTTGGAAACTGAATGCAAAATATTTGGTTTTCTCAGCAACCTCCATTGGGAATAGTCATAAGACTTCTCACACTGATTGTCAGCTCACTTGTTAATTCATTGCCCCAATTCCACGGCTGGCCAGCCTTGCCTAGCATTTCAATCAGAATGAGCTACTTGAAAGGAAAGAAATGAGGAGCCACTGAGACAGCAGTCTGTAACCAGAGCCAACCCTACAAGCAGCTGCCTGTCAGAGGCCAGAGTTGTAGTACAGACAATGCTGGAGACCAGAAAATGTTTGTGAAAATCACTGTGAGCAACAGATGTTTTCCAATATTCTTGAAGCAGCAAAAACCCAAAAAGCTTGTCTAGATGGAAATTTGCACCAGTGTGACTACACAGATGTAACCACACAATTGCAAATTGCCCTAATCTAAACAAGCCCTTTAGAATCAGCTCAGTTAATAAACTAGTTTCCAAGGTCCACAACCAAACCAGGAGCGCCAGGCAAATAAAAGCTTAGCCTAGCCTTCCTTGGAACAAAAATGCCTTTTTGGTAAAAGGGATATCTAAAAAAACATATGTTTTCCTAGAAGTCTGGAGACCTCGGTACTATTCCCTGCTCTACCAGTGGCTTGATATTTCATCTGTAACAAGTCTCCTTCTCAACCTCTCTGCTCTCATTCCCACTCTTTGTAAAATGGGGATAATGTCGCTTACCCACTGAAGCAAGGCCAGAGAGGGTAACTCTTCAAACAAAAAGGTTTATTAGACTCTCAGCTTTGAATCCAAATAATCCTCTGGGTCAAGGTTTTATTGCAACAGTTTCTAATTCAATCCCACCTAAAAGCAATCTGGCCAAAATCTCTAATTACCCTCCTCCCATGCAGAAAACTCATAACCCCAAAGATAACCCCTCCCGTTCCTCACTGCTCCCAGTCACACATACCTTCCCTTTATGGAGTTTAGATACACTCAGCTGCCTGTAATTAACACCCTTGAACCCTGGCTGGAAATTAACACCCAAAAGCCAAGGCTATTAGCTGGCTCAGAGATGCTTCCCCCAGGGGCACCACCGGAGAAGGGTGTAGCAATAATTCAGGGTTACCTTCATATTATTGTTTCTTACATTTCTCTGATACTAACAGATTTCACTTTGGGTGTTTCCATCAGAGACATGTTCCAAACTCATTTCTATCTGTAAAGCCAGCCTGCACTCGGGTGGTCCCAGCAGCCCTAAGGTTTTAAGATATTGGTCACAGGGGTCACCCCTTCCAGGCTTGGCACTAATTTGACCCCTTTTTAAAAGAATAAGCAACCGAGCGTATGACGCACTCAGAACTAAAAGCGGCAAGTGAGCGAGCCCGTTCCCACCTTGCTGGGAGCAGCAGGATAACAGGCTATTCCTGATGTGTGATGGCTAAATCAGTATCATTTCAGTTTAATAGGAGATATGTCCTCTGTCAGGGCACTAGTAACAACGATCTCACTAGGTCTCTCCACACAATAGTACTTACCCATGGCATGAGCATCAGCACAAGCAGCTGGCATAGTTAAGACCTGAAACACCAGCCAAAAATTCAGTATTCCAGAGAGTGATGTGTCAATTTGCAGCTACTCTTCTACGTCTTAGGTAACAAACTTAACTGAGACAGAGAAATCCACAGGAGCGGCTGGGGGCAGCCATGCTGTTTGCAGAGGGATGCTGGGAGGTTTTTTCTCCTTCCTCCCCACTTCACTTCATAGATTGCTACTCATGAAAAGAAAGCTACACAGAGCTCAGGGCTGGTGTGGCAGTGTTTTCTTCCTCATGCCTAGAAAACAAAAACACAGGCGATCACAAACACTCTAAACATTTACAGTCATAGAAAAACAACCTCTCATACGCAAACCATCAGATTGGCAGTGCCACTTCACCGGGCTAAAGAAAGGGGACACTAAAATAATACAGTAAAGACAATCACGGCGGGGGGGGGGGGGGGGGAGAGCAGCCGATCCTACACACACCCCACACACGCGGTCGCATAGAAACCGAATGCCACGAACAGTCACAGAAACACACTGAAGCACAGAGCGACAGGCAGAAACGCAGCCCGCCCGGGAAACACGCCGTGCTACAGAAAAACACACAGAGCCAGGCCACTCTCACCCCCGTCTCCGACACAATCACGGGAACACCGTCCCCCACGCCAGCCGGCCCTCTGGAGCATTTCACTGCTGTCGAGGAACCCCACCCAGGAGCCACTGGCATCCATGCCCCAGAGAAGGGAGGCACGCGGCCAAGACGTCACGGTGATGGGCGCGCGGGCTGACTGGGTGTGAGCTCCTCCGGCGGGGCCGGTCTCTCTGCCGCCTCCGCAGCACCCTGTCCGTTGACGGCGCTCCGGCCATAACCGCGGTGCGATGCGCTCATATGAATGCACCATCACGGCGGTGTGGTCCGCTGGGGTCTGGTGTGTGGCTCAGGGGGTGGCCCGCTGCCACGGAGGGCCCATGGCGGGATGACACTCCCTGACAGGCCGCGTCCTGCCCCCTAGGTCCGGGGGGGCTGGGGGCAGGCCCGGGTGCGCCTCAGGGGAACCGTGCACGGCGGGGCCGGCTCGGGGCAATGCTTTCAAACCGCCCCTCTCCCGGGCGCCGGGGCAGGCACGATCAGACCCCCCCAGCGTGCCGCGGCGCTGTGAGAGCCCCGCGCCGGGAGCCGTGGCCTGGCGCCCTCCCGCCCCCGGGAAGACTGGGCCCCTGGGAGGGGGGAACTGACCCCACGCGCGAGGAGAAGTCACACCCGCGCGCGCGCGCACACCCCCACACCGCGCGCTCTTCTCCCTGTGCGGCCGCTGCCCCGGAACCCTTGATTCGCGGGCTGCGTTTCCCGCCCCGGACGCCTTTCGGCGGCCCCTCGAGCCGCCTGTTTCCGGAGCTGCGCCGACGTCACAAGCGGGGGCGGTGGTTAATAGCCGTGGCGCAGCGCCGCTTGTTGACAGGCTTCCATTCCGGTCTCCGCCGCCTGACGGGCCCCGGGCCCCCTGCGCCGCCATGTCCATCTTCACCCCCACCAACCAGATCCGCCTCACCAACGTGGCCGTGGTGCGGACCCGGCGCGCTGGGAAGCGCTTCGAGATCGCCTGCTACCGCAACAAAGTCATGGGCTGGCGGAGCGGGGCGTGAGTACAGGCTGGGGCGGGGGCTGCAGGGTTGTGGGGAGGAGGGCGATCTGGGGGCGAGGAGGGCTGAGGCAGGTGCAGGGCTGCTGGGGAGGGGGGGGAGTCCGGTGTGGGTGCAGGGCTGGGAGGCGGGTGAGGGCCCGGGGAGACGTTTGAGGTGGGACCCCCCTCGCTGGGGGGTTTCTGAAGGGGAGGAGACTCGGATGTCTGGGGCGGAGGGGGGTGGATGCCCCAGGCGGTGCTGGGAAGCGGTGCCTGCCAACATCCAGCTCCTAGTGAAATGGACCAGGTCAGGCCCTTCCCCCGGCTGGGCTGACTGACCAGTACCCTACTCCTCTAGCTGGTGCCAACGCTTACAGAGCGGGGGTGACCTGCCCTCATCCTACTCCAGGAGCGATTCCCACCCAGGCATTGGGGGAGGGGTTCGCAGCATGCAGGGAAGCTAGGAGTTGGCTCTGCCCTGAGTTACTGAGGGGGGTCTGAAAATACCAATCCTGTCTACATGGGGGCTCTCTGGAATTTGAAGAGTCCATGCTCATAAGTTAAAGCATGTAGATGCTCTCATTCAGGAGTAAACACTGCTTTAGTTTCCCGTAACTAAGTGTGGCCTACACTCAGGCTGTGTCTACATTACCACTTATGTTGGTATAAGTCAGCCTCTGAGTGACATAAGTTGCATGGAGCTAAGCACTGCTGTGAACAGCACTGTCGGTGGGAGAGCTTTTTCCACTGACATAGCTGCCACCGCTTGTTGTAGGTGGATTAATTAAATCCATGGGAGAGGTCTCTCCTGTCTGCTTTGAGCGGCTACACTAGAGAGTTTACAGTGGCACTCTCAAGTGTAGCCATAGCCTTAAAAGTTAGGCTGAGGTAGCTACATCACTCAGGGGTGTGAAAAAACACACCCTTGAGTGTTGCAGTTTTGTCAAGGGAAGAATGCTTCTATCAACCTAGCTACTGTCAACAGGGGAGGTGGTGTTCCTTCATTGATTAGAAAAAAACCCTTCTGTTGGCGTAGGCTGCATCTATGCCGTGGGGTTATGCCAGTATAGTCTCCTGGATCCTCCTTGAATCCTTCCTTGCCCTTTGAAGGTATCTTCACACCTTTAGTTTATTTGCCTTTAACTTTTCTAAGAGTCCTCCTAGCTTCTACATGAGGAAGTGTCCCTCCTTTGAACCTGTTGCTCCTTCTCTTCTTCTTGTGAATGTTGTTTTACTTCAGGATTTAGAAATACTCTGTTGCTACTGCCAGTTTTGACTGCTCTTATTTGGAAAATATTGATTTGTTTTGTGTGTTGCAATGTTTGTAGTGAGGCTTGCAGTTGGCAGTACTTGTTTTATGTTTCTGCACCACTAATGTTGAAGAGGCAACAGCGGTTTGAGAATAAAGACCTGTCCCTGCAGTCACTATCAATCTAAAACTCTTATTTTGAATGTCTTTTTCTCTGGGATTTATATTATCCCAATCAGCATAATGTTTGAGAGCCTATTGAGAATCTCTTCTATTTCATTGTCTCAACCATGTTTTTTCTTTAGTTTCTCTGAATAGCTACGGGTTTAACTTCAAAAAAAATCAAAGACTAGTCCCACAAAATTAATATTTTATGTCATATTTGGAGTCCTAAAGGAACATTAATGGCTGCACCGACTTAACTAGCCATTGCTTAACCCCAGCATCTAAATTTTTTTTTTTGTGAAAACCAACTCTTAAAATCAATGTTGACATTTTTTAAAATTCCAGTGAAAATAGTTCTCTGTAAACAAACATTCTGCAGTGCATGCAGTACAAATGTTTCAGCATTGAGAATCAAAATGAGACCAACTTAACTGATTTTCATGGTCCCAGTTGCAAGAAGTGATGAAAGTAAACAAGCAGTATAAACTAGAGGAGAAATACATTGGATGTTAAAATTCTTTCCTTTTTAACAACCAATGTGGTAATAGTAATCTAGAAAGGAAATTTGTTTCTCCTTTAAGTCACTTGCTGGTGTCCTCTTAAGAAGTTGGTAATGAATTAACCAGTCCATAAAGCTACAATTAGGTTTACTGAGGGCCCCAAACAACATTCCTCTTGGTGAGAAAGTCCAACAGCTGCCCACACTCAAGTTCCCAGCTTCCACTAATTGGTGCCCTAGCCTCAGACAGAGTAGCAACCACAAGACTACTCCCTGCTAGTTAATACTATGCTTGCATGTTTTCTGATTGTGAATACAATTGTTATTTACCAGTGAAAAAGACATTGATGAAGTTCTACAGACCAATACGGTATTTGTAAACGTCTCTAAAGGTCAAGTTGCAAAGAAGGAAGATCTCCTCAAAGCTTTTGGAACTGATGACCAAACAGAAATCTGCAAGATGGTAGGTCCTCCATACATGAAAGCATAGAGTTAACACACCTTATTGTGAATCACAGAAGATTCTAGCCATCCTCCATTAAAATTTAGCTAACTGAATCTCCATCTGTCAATTGATGCTGTTAGAGATTAATGAATTTTCTAGTATATTACATGGTGGTGGGTTTTTTGAATTATTGATCAGGTTTGGGTAAACACATTCTTTCCCTTCTCTTTGGAAATAAAGTGCTTTAAATCTGTGGTCTTCAGCACCACTTTGTGCTTGTCTTGTGAACAAAGCAGGGTCCTATCAGATCAGTCGACTGATAGGGGATGTCCGTGCAATGCCTAGTTGCTATAGACAAGTGTGTTGCTGATTCAGTCAAGGATACATTTCTCTTTCAGTCGCTACTGAACCAGCTTCCTGGTGGGGAGGGAAGGGGCATTCTTCTGATACCTGATCTTTCCAGTGAGAGATTTATAAAACTGAGTTCTGACCCTTGCACTTTTTATATAGCATCATTAGGATGCATTGTCCTTTACATACATGTCAGAAGCAAAGTCCCTGTCCCAAAGAACTTTAGACCAATTTCTACTGGAAGATAGGGATGGAGGGAGAGAGGTAATAGTTTTGTTTCACACATGTTTTGATCCAAAGGATTTTTTAGTTATAGTGGTGTATTTATGATGTAAAAGGAATGAGTGGGGGTGAATAGTTAATCTGCATTTTTAATCAAACAAGATATTCAGTAATGCTGTTTATTTTGAAATAGTTTCAGTGTTCAAGATAAACCTGTTATGATTTATTTTTTTTGGTTCCCTTGTTGGTACACGTATATAAACTGTTAACTTCACTTGTAGGATTTGACCCTTATCTTAAAAACACTAGTTTCTTTTTTATAGTTTGATGAAACAAGCATTACACTTTTGCGTTAGGGTTTTTTGTATTATGAAAAAACTCTAAGGTTATACTTGACATGCTGCAGAATAACCTAATCAAATTAAATATATATACACTATTTTTATATATAATATACATATGGTATGTCTTAGCTTTGTGTGTGTGTGTGTGTAACTGTTACTTTGAAAACAAATCAATAACTTTCCCAGAGCTAGGACTTCTATTCCTCAGTCAAATATGTATTATAACTATTTAATAGAATTTTTCATTCTTGATTAATCACGTCTAGATTTTAACAAAAGGGGAGTTGCAGGTGTCTGACAAAGAGCGACACACACAATTGGAGCAGATGTTTAGAGATATTGCAACTATTGTCGCTGAGAAATGTGTGAATCCTGAAACAAAGAGGCCATACACAGTAATTCTTATAGAAAGAGCCATGAAGGATATCCACTATTCTGTTAAACCAAACAAGAGTACCAAACAGCAGGTCAGTATCACTCCCCAAAAATTCTGTTTAAACTTAAAATTTTGTATGCAGTTTCATTATTAACATCCACAGGAGTCACTTGAGCCTAAATCTAAGGATGGTAGGTAAGCATTGTTTGACACAGAGGTGGCACAGGAGCTGAATGTCAGAAAGAAACATATGTTCTGAAACTTTGTAATTTGGTTTGTATCTGCCCATGAAACAAAGAAAGGGAAACAAACTACAGATTATTAAAACAGCAGCAACATTGGGTGTAAAACAAAAGCAAGAATACTCAACGCTCATGCTGTCGTCTTACCTCTTGTTCAGTGGGACAGTGTGTTTATCCTTAATTTTAAATGTCCTGGCTTTTATAGTTTCGATATAACCACCTTGTTTAACATTTCCAGCTTTTCTGACACCTTAAGTCCAATGCCAGCAATACTTTAACATAAAAAGGCAGATCTTCTCAATAATCAGTTCTAATAATATACCAAATGTATTCCTGGAGAATTCCAGGGGATGGTAACAAGGAATGTTTCTGGAGCATCTATAAGCTGTTGTAAATAATGCTCAGTCTGAGTGGGATGTGGTGCTATGTAAATAACAAATGAGTATAAGTGAATTTCATTTGTAGTTAATGTCTTTTGCAGGCTTTGGAAGTGATCAGACAGTTAAAGGAGACTATGCAGATTGAGCGGGCTCACATGAGACTGCGGTTTATTCTCCCAGCAAAAGAGGGCAAGAAGCTAAAAGAGAAGCTCAAACCACTGATCAAAGTTATAGAGAGTGAAGACTTCGATGAGCAGTTAGAAATTGTAAGAATCTAGTTTCCATAGTTAATTTGTCTACATTTAGTTGCTGTCTTTTGAAAGCTACATGTAAAACCTGTGTTTGGGTTAGCTGAAATTGAACTAAAGTGCTGAAATCTGAATTAATCAGATGCATAATTTAAATGTTTTGGGTTTTGTTTTGGTATTTTAATTCTTCATGGTCTTAGTGACTGCTTTCAAGCCTTGCAAGGCTCAGGACTGTCAGAACACTTACTTGAGGAATGAGAGTTCTTAACCAGCAGGCATGACTCGGTTATCTTCCTGTACCCATATTTGTTGTAGAATTACTGCTCAAACTTAAAGTATAATGCAGCAACTTTTAGTGAGTGCTATGTTTAACATCCTCATTTTGCCAGTCCCCTATATGTTAGGATGTTAAATTTTCATTATCTTATGGTGCATGTGTTTTGCACTGTATCTTACTGCAATTCAGTTCTGACAGTACTGTAATTTATTTAAAAGGTATTCCCCCAAAATAATAAAACAATGTGTAATTAGTAATACTTTGGGATACGTACAACAGACTGGGCTGCTTCTGCAATTTCACTGCTGCATTATCAGCAAGTCAAGCATCAGCAGGTGGAGTTGCAAAACTCCCTTAAAGAAAAGATGGATCTATGGGGATTGATTAAATATAGGCTTTTAGGAATGTGGAAAAGCTTTCTTCAGGCCTATTGGGTCAGTCATCTCTGTATATTAAAATGCCATTGGAGAAAAGGAAACAGTGTAGGCTAAAATCTTCACTGATTGATATGTAAAATGTTTCAGGTGTGCCTCGTTGACCCAGGCTGCTTCAGGGAGATAGATGAACTGATCCGGTGTGAGACTAAAGGGAAAGGCTCGCTTGAAGTACTCAGTTTGAAAGATGTGGAAGAAGGAGATGAAAAGTTTGAATAAAACCCTTCATCAACCTCACTTTTGTGGTAAACACTTAATAGGTAGACTTAAGCCACCTCATTCTGTTACTTTTGTTTTTCCAACCTATTGCTGCCAAATAACTGCTGTCACTAGTTCTATTTGAGATTTTTCTATGCCACGTTTCCTTGCATCTGTCTGGGTAACAAGTGCCTTTTTAATAAAGAGGTGTTTTGAGTGTTCAGTTTGCACTAAGGACAAAGCTATAGGATTTAACAGTGAAAGGCTATACTAGCTTTTGTTTTGGTGTGGGTATTGATTATCAGTAGTCACTGGTGCTATCCAGTGGGCCAAGTCCTTTTCCCTTTAATTTAGTGCTGGGTGGAAGACTGCATATATCCCAGAGAGGCTTATTGTGTATGAGGAGAAACATGCACAGGCAAGTGAATTAAATGAAGTGTCACTTAAACCAGTGCACAGAGTTAGTGTGTACAATATTAACCTTGTTTAATGGCAACATAAGTAGATGTGACCTAGACTGCCACATGCTACTGCTAGAGAACTTTAGCCATTTTCAAATAGACCATTCTTCTATATTATTCATGGGACACATGCAAAATATACATTCTAACTTGGGGGGAAAAAAGTGTTCCCCTAATTCATTCTTTCAACTACAAATGAATTATAATATATACTTATATTTATAGGATCTGGCACAAGTGTAGTAGTCTTCTATGCTTCTGTGAGGCTGAAGCTGTGCTTCCACAATCTGCAAAAACTCACTGCTAAAATAAACCTGATCTATTCTAGATCAAGGTATCTGCTCACTGAGATTTTCCACTGCTAGAAGTTGTATGTTCCTTTTCTCATCAAAGATAAAAGCCAAAATGCTTTCAACTTCTCTAGTATTGTCATTTTAGACCCTTTGTATGTTTTGGTGATGTCCACACACACACACTTTCTATCAACTAACCTGCTGCAGAAGATATAGCACTCTAAACTATTTTCTTGCTAAAATTACAGTACAGTTTTTTCAAACTAGATAGTGTATGAATAATACAGCTAAGCAGCTCCAAGGGATGCATTCATACTTCCTGAGAGAGAATACAAAATAGCGGGAAAAGAGAATAAATGATACTAACTCACCTACCCATCCATAGATAGTTCAAGGATAAACATGGAGTTTAAATAGTGCCCCTGTAATTAAACAACTTCTGACAGCGTACAATGCAGCAAAACATGCATTAGTTGTTTGGTACAATTTCTGTTTCCTAGTTTTAGGGGATGAGCAAGTACACTGGTCACTTGCTGACTCCTAGAGCTAAGCTGCATATGTATTTTGTGATGAAGTTGTCAGCTGTCCTCTGATTTGATGCATACATTTTCTGCAAAGACTTAGATGTTCTTAGTTTATAACTACAACAAACATACTGTTAACACATAAGTACCTAGCAAAGCCCCTCTATCCCCCTCTCAGGCATTTACCTTCCCTTTAGTCTTACAGCCTGAGCTTGTTCACAGTTCAGATTACAGGGGAGGCTAATAATAAATGTAGAAGTACTTAAGTTGCATTGGAGTTTAAGTCCCACTGACAGTCAATGGGATATGGGCTCCTTAGTCATTAAGCATTTTGAAAATTGAAATTACCTGTGTGATTTTGCTGCTATGTCTCCTTATATGGACACACACTAGACTAAGTAGCTATACCTAAACTATGTTAAGACATTGATTGTGCTAATATTTGAGTACTAAAGATACTCATCAGTACTAATATCCCATTGAGATTAATTGGGCAATTCATTAGTTGCATTTAGTGTTTTGGGTTGCCTGCAGCTGTAGCCATCACTGCATCCATAATTAGAGCTGGTTTTTCTTTAGTGATAAAGCTTAGCTTCTGAAGAGCAAACTTGGGAGCTAGCAAGAGAATGAGATGAGTTGTAATAATTTAGTAGAAGCCAGTTCACAAACTGGTTAATAGTGGGGGAAGTCTATTGAGCCTGTAAAGCCTTCTCTAGGATATGGGTGAGTTTTTTCAGGTTTTTTCTGTAGAGGGAGTTCTTTTTTGATCTTTTTGTAATTTATGTACAGTTGGTTTGTTTAGTATTTATGGGTCAGGAAGAAGGGCTGACAAGTATCAAAACAAATCTTATTAAAGTTGACTATCACTTGTGGTGGTTTTCAGTTCTGCTTCAACACCTGTACTTCCTTGCACAATGTTTTCCTGAATATGGATATAATTCACATTTCAAAAAGATACATGTAGAGGTTTTACAATTGTCATCTTACTTAACTTGCTTATTCTCTAAACACTTGCTTATTCTCTAAACAGTAAGGAAGTAGAGCCGAAGACTAGTAAAGGAGCACATGGTACACCTACTTGGTCTGTGCTCAGAGCTGAAAAACTTCCAGTATTTCATGCTCTGCCTTTAAAGGTAAATCCAAGCAATATATACATACACCTTTAAAAAGCTGACAGCTAGAAGAAATTGAAACTTTATTCACTATACTTTAGATTCCTAACTTATAGGACTAGATGTTTATGAACATTAACATCTGTTTTTACTCAGTCCTGCATGTTCAACTGACTTTAGCTACAATTTTGTATTGTCTACTTCCATAGAAGTCTGTATGAAGATCTCAGTTAAATACACATTTAATACACAACATCCTCAAGTACAAATTGGTTCTGATAAAGTAGATGCTGGATACCATGTTTACTCTTCATCAGAGATGAGTCCCTCTTTAGCAGATACCATTAGGTTTCTTGTCTCTAGTACTTAAATTTCTGAGACAGTATGTTATAGAGTCTTCTACAGGTGTCAGCAGTGAAGGTATTCCACATCACAAAAATCATACAGAAACAGAAGTCTTGCACTTTCAAATTAAGGTTTCATTCACATCTCCATAAGACATCAAAATAACAGATGTATTAAGACCCACAAAAAAGCCTGTCCAATCCTCAATTAAGAGCTAAACTTTCCCTAATAGAAATACAAGTCAAGTATGCAGACAGTCTTATGTTAGGGATAAGTGAAAAAATGTTCTGTGGACTAACAAATATGCTGAAACAGGCTTCAGAAGTGTCACACCAGCTGCAAAGACTTAAACACAAAGTCCTGTATGCTCTATGTACTTTTTTTTATAGAAGCAGGAATCTTCCAAAACATCACTTCCTCCCAGTGTGTTCCACTGACTGTTTGATAATCTTCGCTTTAAAGGGTCCTGTATTTCAGTGGTGCTCTGTAGTTTAAAACGCACTTTAAATTTAAAATGCCTTTTCTCCTAAAGTGTTCTCACAAAGCACATATGATGTAACTTGGCTCCTATATTATTTCATGTTTGCTACTGTATGAAAGATGCTTGTCGTTTCCAGTGCTACAGGCATACGCTGCCTGTCTGGAAACTGAGCAGCACCACACTCATGACAGGATGTGTTTTGATGCTGACATCATTGGGTAGCTAAATGTATATAGTGGTTTTGTGTAAGTAACTTTTGTGGCAGGCAAATGGATTACTCTGAAATTCTACCTTTTCACCTCTTGATGAAAGCATTACTGAATTGCCGAAACACTTCAAATGTAGATCACGTCCGAGTCATGCTGCTGAACCTACAGGCAAATCAAAGAGAAGTTATTTCCACCCACCCTAAAGTTCTGTTTTAAGCATATGAGTGGGAACCAGGAATTCCTTAGCTCTAATCCTGGCTTTGATATCAACTCTGGCCTTTAAGAAGTCGCATCAAAATGGCTTGACTTATTTTCCTGCCAGCCCCATGGAAGTTTTCACACTGAAAAACATCACTTTGCAGTTTGGATTTTATTTTTCTTAAAACAATTACCTGTATTATTTGTATTAGGAAGATGCTGCTTCTGTCCAACCACATTGGACTGTGTATCTTATAATTCTTGCCCACAGTCTGCAAGTTAAGGTCATGTGACAGTCTCTAGAGATTCTGAAAAATCTTTAGAATAAATATCTGAAGGAGGTCACAGGCACAGCTCAAGTTTATTGATCATAGAGTAGAAACTCTTGCCCTAACCTCATTCACATACATCAACGTTCCTTTAAACCTCCAGTTAGTTCTCTGGCAACCAGCACAATTAGTAGTGCATAAATAAAGTTACTTGCTGGTAACTGTTAAATAACAGTTACCTGCCCTTAAAACAGTCTCACGTACAGACTGAACTTTTATATCCCCAAATGTATTTACTCACTCACCTACCTGGAAGGAGCCAAGCATACCAGGACACAAGGTCTCCCTCATGGACCTACACAGCACTTGTGTGAAACAGCTGATAGAGAGGCAGTGTTCTATTACCATTGCCATGTAAGAGCTGAATTGTAGGTGGTTTGGTCAATTTCTGTTACTAGTATCTTATTACTTACCCCTTAATGCTGGAAGTTAGGTTTTCACAGCCATAAATACTAGTGCAGAAGGGAGTCATGTTTATGTTTTAAACTGCTGATGCCAGCACTGAGGACACTTTACTTTCAAGCTTGGTCAAACTATAAAGAAAACGCAGCTATTGAATACAAATCCTCTTGTTGTCTAATGGGATTTATCTTCCATTCGTATTCCAGCTTTGTCCACAGGTGGAGTGGAGTCAGATGGTCTCATCTTAGCCCCCATGATGCCCATGTTATAAGCTGCCTTAAATGGCATGAAACTGAAGGACTAGAGTAACTAGCAGTCCTCCACAGTTTGGGATTGAGGGGCACTGGCAGAGCTGGGTGGAAGAAGCTTGCCCAAGCTATTAATTCCTTACTTTCACAAGCAATAAATTCATCCACATTTTGGGAAAATACATATAAATCCCATTACCTTTATAATCTGTTTTCTAGTTCCTGTCCCCACATTGCTGGCAACCAAGGTATTTGTTTGAAAAGTTGACTTTTCCACAGGTACTGTATGTTGATTCTTGTTGGTACATGGGCAGCTGCTTGTGGCATTTAATGGATAAGCTGGGAAGGGCTTTCGAAGATTCATATCTAACAAGTCTCCAGCTCCAAAGGTTTTCATCCATGAGGGAGCCTTTAAAGAACAGAATATGTGAAACAGTGTTCTCACTACATCAGCTCACATTAAGCCAAAGGCATATCAAATACATGGACCGGAAATTATAGGAGCCTTCTCTCACCCAAGCCTCCCTTTTTTGTCTCTCACATGTTAGTCTAAGATAAATTTCTAGGTTTGAAGAAATCTGGAAGGGCTGGGGCCCTGTTACTGTTGCACTGGTCCAGAAAGGGGCTTGAAAGTTTGTTTGCTGAATCACTAGAATCTGGCGTAAAAAGCTGACTTTCACACACACAAAAATATCATCACACCTGAAGAATAAATAGCCACAAAAAGCATGCAGTAGAAAGAGACTGATAACAGTTAAATGTAGCATAGTTGTAATGAGCTTGCAAGAGCTTATTTTGCGCAAAAGCTTTCAGCCTTTATGGGACTCTGCCTGGGAGCTCACAGTCTTTTGACTGTTATATATTTGAGGGGATTCCTCCCATAAAAAGCTTCCAACAGAAAATGCCACTTTCAATGTCTCCAGACCCCCTTTTCACATATTATCAATAGAGATAGTGAATGGTGTGTTTCGTACCAAAATACGAAGCATACGTTTAGCATATGCTTTTAGAAACATTTTAGGGATTCCAATGTTCCTTCGTTTATGGTGTCAACTGAACCTTCTATATTTATTAATGTCTACTGCATAAGTAAGGTTATCTGTTATTCGTATTATAAAACCTATATTTGTGGTTACATACATTTCCTATTGAACGATCCAAGGATCCAAGAACTTCATTCCAGTGAGAGTAGAGCCCAGTTTGTTTTTCCTCTAGTTTCAGCGCATGGATTTCTGACTTCAGCTCTTTCAATCGATCTTCAAATTTTTTGCTCTTTTCCAAGTAATCTAACCTGCAGCCCACACAGGGAGAGAAGAAGCCAAAAAATGAATCTAATTAGCCAGTGGTAGCTCTAACGGAGGGTTTTGTAGTTTTTACATTCATCTATTTTGTAAGGGCAATTAGTAAGAAATGTTCATTCTAAGCTTCTGGGACAAAAACCATCCCCAGTGTAAATCCACTAATCTTACATCAGAGATTAATTTGACACTAAGTTATTCAGTTGACAGTCAATAACTTCATCCAATTTGTATTTTATTTATTCTGATATTTGCTCCACATGACCTGAACCTATGTTTTCCAATTGTCTCATTACAGGGAAAGGCTTTCAGTGACCCTGACTTTTCTTTGGTTGTCATTACATTCATTCTGAATTGCTGACAGAACCTGCAACATTTAGCCCTGCTTGCTGAGGGAGGTTTTCTTTAATCAGGGAGAAGTCAAAACAAAGGGGAATGGTTACAAATGTAAGCTCACGCTATGGGCTTCATGGGAAACCTGTGGACACACATTTACTTCCAGCTGATCACAGCAATACCTGCTCCCCCTCAACTATAAATCCAGCAGTCACACACAGAATCTCCTGTTAGGTGTTATTAAACAGTCGGAGAACCAGCTTTATATGGGAATCTGCAGAATCATAGAGGGTCCCGCAATAGGTATAGATAGGACATCTGTGGTCTCTTGTCTTCTACTTAGATGATAAGCTCTTTGGGGGCAGGGACCATCTTTTTGTTCTGTGATTGGACATTGCCTAGCACAATGGAGTCATGGTCCATGGCTGGGGCTCCTAGGTACGACGGTAATGCAATTAATATGTGTAGTAGCTCCTTGCATTGTCAGCTAATTTACTATCAGAACATTAATGCATTTCAATCAGTCAAATACAGATACTGCTGAAGTTACAGCCCAGATACTCCCATATGGAGCCAAGTGATATACAGGAATCAGGCTAGATGACTAATGGTCTCTTCTGATGATAAACTCTATGAAAGTATAACATACATTATAGTGCATGCAGAGTGAAAAAAATTAAAACATGAGTCTTGCCACTTTATGTCCATTTGCCCAGAATGCAGCTTATAAACCATTTTTAACATTCAAGATAGCCTCAGAACCAACTTGGAACTCTCCAAGGTCTGTGTTGGCAAGCAAGTGTAATATCTAGGAATATTTTGCATAGTCTTTTGATAGATTTTAAAGCCAGTTTTCACAGGAATGTAGGAAAGACCGTAACAGAACAAAGGTTCCCCTAGTCCAGTATACAGTCTACAATGGGGCAAAGGAAAGGAAAGCCCTCTCAATGCACCAGTCAGTTGTTTCCATCCTCCTGCAGACTCATATTGGAGCAGATGGCTTTGCCCCAGACAATGTATTCCTTTAAACCCCAGGGCTCTGTATTCTTCGTGGCTAGATGCCAAGAAAACCTCTTTTCTCCTTCTAAAAAGCTAATGTGTTCTGAGCTGATGCTATTACTTCCGTATAAGGCAGTCACCCATATGTATTTTGGGGAACAATCCTCCACTGGTAGGAGGATACATCAGGAGACCTAATTGGTATTTTCCACTTCTAGTTTCTCACGTTAAGACTCCCTAGTTTATTTACATCTCAGGAGTGTTCCAGTACCTCTCTCTTTCGATCTCAAAGGACAGTCTCTTCAGATCTACATCTTTTAAATCCATCTTTACAGATCCTTTGTCAAAGCTGACATCTCTGGTGTCCGCAGGTGAATGAGGAGGATACCGGGCCACATGCTAAAAGACGCAAGATAATCAAAAAAAGAGTTTGTTCCATTAACAATACAATTAGAAGGTTTTTTTTAATTTCAAGTATATTTCTGGCTTCTACAAGAATCTCAAAAACAGTGTCTCCAAAATTGATGTCTTCCCATTGATTCTAAAGATGGCTGTAAGCATTTGTATCCCTTTCCTCCCTGGCTGGCTGGCCCTAAACAAATCTTTTTGAAATAAAATGTTAGCCTTCAATTAAATACATTACAATGCATACAGACTGCGTGCCAATGAGAGAGAAGCATCATGGCTCGAATGTTTCCCATCTAATTTTAAACTTTGTGGATATCAGAGAGAGTGCAGCATGTGCATAGATCCACTTCCCCATAAGCAGGATGAGTGGCATTTGCTCCTGGCACCTCAGGTCACAGTGGCAAATACTGCTTCTATGCAAGACCACAGCTTTACTTTAAACACAGACCGGGAGGAATAAACTTTCATCTTCTCCTGTTACACTCACAAAAATAATAATTAAAGTACTGAGGAGTCTAGACACTTTTGAAAATTGGACTCGGACACTTTTGAAAATTTTACCCTAAGTTGCTTGCCCTAGTTCACATAGTGACTCAGTGGCAGAGAATGGAATAGAACCTGACCATGCCAATCCTCGGTTTTGACAATTCAGATTCCCCCTTTTGCTATACTGGAGCATACAAAAGAAGTTTGAAGCTGCAGACAAGTTTTTGTCCACAAAGCTCCTTTGCTGATCCCTTCCTAAAGTTCTCTCAATGTCACGCAGTTTCCATATTTCATTTCTGTCAATACGACATCCAGGTATCCTTAAATTGCAAACATCTCTGGGTACTGTGTAGGCTATGTGATTAACAGTGATGGTGACAGACAGATAATTTAAGCAATATCTGTCTAATCTATCATATGTTAAAATTGTGAAGACCAAAGACTGCAAAGTACAAAGACATTATAAATACTTCAGCTTGGTAACAAAGTGTCTTGAGCAAGCTTCATGGAGAATGTGTATTTACTTGTTAGTTACATTGTATCTACATTTAAATGATGATTGGTTATTTGTCCACTCTCCAATAAAGTGCTGCCCATTAGAACCTAAACTGGGTAACTTACAGGATAATTAAGCTTCGTTACATCCAGAAGTTTCTGCTTCGCTTTTCGTTCAGCTTCCCTGGCTTCATGCAGATCCTGTTTTAGATGTTCAGCTTCTTTGGCTCTGTCAGACAAACAAACATACTGTGAATGTTAGGTGGTAGATTTCAAACACATGGCAATACACTGAGTTCATACACCTAGCTTGTTTCTGGAGAGACATCTGTTAGCCTCTGAAATAGTCTCCACAGGTGAAGGCCTAATTGCATGGGAAATTGAAAACTGGACAAAGCACAAGAAGAGGTGACTGCGGAAACAGTCCTGCATTAGCTGGCTGATTTAATAGATCTTTTCTATCTCTAATTCTTATGGGCCCAGTTCTGCACCCATTGTCTTGTAATCTCTGAGCCTTCAACCATTATCTGGCATCAAAGATACCCTCTGGGATGCTGGTTTGAAAAGTAAGTGCTCCTTGTTTTGGGGAAAATGCTGTTTAACACTATGCTAGCATAAGTAAAGTGCCCTCAGCCTACCAAGGTGATAAGTACTCTACAAATACCTATAACAACAAAGAACATGAGACACGCCCTGTATTTTAGGACAGCACTGAGCCCTGGGATTCTATACATGTGTAAACAATAGAATATACATAATCTACAACAGTGTGTATATTAAATGCACTACACTGGCTAAGAACCCCATAATAGAATCCTGCAAACCACTTATGAATTTAAACTCCTCTAATTAGCATGGGTCTAGCATTCACAAGGCTTTAAATTTAAGTTTAGACTCTCCATTAGTAGCCCTCAGTCTTTCGATAATGCTAAGAAGGAGTTGCTGCATAGTCATGGTGAAAACTATAGCTGAAGATGCAATTTTTGCTAAACAATTTTTGGCACTAATTTCAAATACACTGGTACAAGGTGGGAATGAACAAGATGCACAAAGCTGTAAAGTGTTACCTGGGGAGTTCCTCCTTCCACACGTAAATTCTGGGAAGATAATCACACAGTATATCCACAAGTGCCAAGGCTGACAGATGTCAGCCACCAAACCCACAAGCATATCTAACCTTCGATCTGACTCTTTCACCAGTTTTACTGCGATCAGCTCTGTCTCCCGCATCTTCTGCTCCATCAGACGCTTCTCCTCCTTGGTTTTCAGTGCTGTGATCTCCAACCTCTGCCGCTCTTGCTCAGCTTCTGCAGCATTCTGGGCCAGCAGTTTGGCCTCTTCTTCTGCAATCTGAGCTTTCTCAGCCAGCAGCTCTGCTGTTTCCTGGGACCGGAGCTAAAAAGAGACATGATTTATCTTAGCTACTATGATGCAATATTTAGAAAGGAAAAATAGCTACAGTCAGCTTAGAAGCAGGAGGTCTTTCCCCAGCAGATCATAATAATGTTAACCCTTAACATACCAAGGATCATTATATTAGTCCTTTGCCCTCTTAACTGAGGGCCTAGAGCCAAGTAAACGTTTCCAGGATATCTCATCTCCCTCTGCTCCAGTATGCTTGCCTTCCTCTCTCCTTCCACCATATATGACCTCTCCTCCTTCACTCAGCACTGGACTAAGACATCATCCAAAATGGGCAGAGCCTTGGGAACTCTGCCTGCCTCCTTTCAGCTGCCAGTCCCACCTGCTGCTGGCTTCAAACAGGCTTCTCCACAGCTTCCATTCCTCATGCAGCCTGCTTTCCTCTCTCTCTGGTTCCTGGCCCGAACAAGGTGTTGGCAGAAAAATTGGGGAAGTGGGTGGTTCCCAGCAAATGGAGATTGGGGGCAGGCCTGGCTCCCTGCAAGAGTGCAAGCATACCCTGCCTCCCAGAAAGTCTCCCTCCTTTCCTTAACAATAACCCTCAGAGTAAATCTACACTGCAATAAAAGACCTGTGGCATTGCCATGGCTGGTCTGGGTCAGCCGACTCAGGCTCACGGGGCTCAGGCTGCAGAGCTAAAAATTGCAGCATCGACATTCAAACTTGGGCTGGAACCAGAGGTCCAAGACCCCATGAGGACAGAGGGTCTCAGAGCCTGGGCTCCAGCCCGAGCCCGAACAGCTACACTGCTATTTTTAGCCCTGCAGCCTGAATCCTGTGAGCCAGAATCAATTGACCCGGGCTCGGAGACTCGGTCCCATAGGTTTTTTTATTGCAGTATAGACATTTCCTCAGTGTCCTAGCTAACGCCACAGGAAAAGGAGCTTATAAATCTTGATGTCACCCAAGGCCAGATGACATTCACAGACGACTGTAACGCTCACCAGTGCCTCGTTGGCTTGCCGGGCTTCATCTTCCATCTGGAAGAGGCGCCTTTCCAGCTCTTCTTTGGCTCGCTCGGCTTCTTCTCTGAGCTGCTTCTCCCTGGCCAGCCTTTGAGTCTCCATCTGGAAAGATAATGAGTGATGCTCACAGACTGGGACTGCCGAGCAAACTGGGTAAATATTTCTAGAGAACTGAAAGCTGTCCAGCTGCTGCATGGCTATCTGCCACTGTCAAGGCATCTTGCAAAGTGCCAGGGCAGCTCATCCGCATTGAATCCAACAGCTGGTGAGTCTGGTTATTGAAAAGTGCTGTCCATATGGAGCACGTGTGTCATGTCTCCCTTTGTACTGCACCTTGTCATGAGCATCCCTCTACCACAGATACCACCCATACACAACACACATCTCCTCAGACATTCCACACCTCCCATAGCTGCTCATATTCAGTCCCTCCACAGGCATCAGCACAGACACACCCACCTCTGCTTATGGTATGAACAAGTAGGGTGAGGAAGCATGTTTGTGTGATGAATGGAATAGATACTTTCAGCAACAAGAAGCAGAAGGAACCTACTTTTTGTCTAGCCTTTTCCTCCCTGGCCTGAGCTTTCATTTGCTGGATCTCGATGGAGTCAACGTTCCTCCTTCTCATGAACAGGTCGTGGTTTCCAATGCACAGCTGTAAAACCTGCAGAAAGCAAAGCAATTGCAACACAAGTAAGTTGCAGTGAGCTGGGGGAAGAGCACGGCACAGGAATGCAAACACATCTTCTACTTGGGGGCTAACTTCAGAATCATCAGGAGCTAGCAATTCCTCCAGGTTGTAGGTTTCTAGCCTAGCAAGTCAAGGTAAGGCACATCTTTAGTCAGCAAATATATGATTTGGACAGGTTGAGAGCAGGCTGAAAGTCTCTCTCCTTATTCAGTCACCGTCTCTGGCACCAATTTCTCCTCCAGTTCTGCTGGTGTAAGAGAGGTAAATGGAACTCGTCTGGGGTGAAGGCATATGAAAGAGAAAAGCAGTAGTGGCATGGCAGGTCATCTGCAGAAGACCCTGCACAGGTGCATAATAAGACTGCAGGTTGGGAACGGATATGGTTTAGCTAGGGAGAGGACTGAGCCAGTGTCTTCCCCCATCAATCCCATAGGGATATTTCAATGAAAGATAATGCCAACCCAGTCAGCAGTATCGTATGCTGCTTCCCTTTCCTTGAGGAAAGTTGGGACAGCAACAGACTGAGAATCCACACAAGCACCGCTCCTGAGGAAGCAAAGGAGGCATCATGCCTTCCCACAATGCCCTAGCCTTAGGTCTGCAGGATTTCCCTGTGGCTCTTTGGTCTTTTACACAGTTGGTGAGTCTCCTCCCATACCCATTCTTAAAAAAAAAAAAAAAAGTGCAAACTCACCCACAAACAGAATAATTTAGAGGAAATAGCAAGTGTTTAGACAAAGTTTTCTGGTCCCTGGGTGGTTCTCTCATGTAGGGCACAATATGGTACGCCAGTTTCTCTCATTAATTTTTACCAAATCACTGCAACACTAATTTTTATTATGGCTTCAGGCCTCTTAAGTACCAATACTCATGACACACGACCACAGCGGCTATTCTGAGAATAAGATTTCTCACTCTGATATCAATCAATGCAACTGGGATTGTTACTACATTCAGATTTTTTAAAAGAGCAGCAGCCCACTTACCAGTTTGTTCACTTTGAGCTGAGAAGAAAAGAATTTGAAAACTTCTGCTTTTTTATCAAGAGGTTTAATAGTTAGCTGGGGAAAAAAAATAAAGGGAAGCAGACAAGTCTGGATCAATAAAAAGCTGAAAGTATTGAATACTATTTCTACAGCAGACAATAACGAACCCACACCTACAGGAAAGTATTATCCCCAGCATAGAGGGGAAACTGAGACAAGACATTAATGATTACTCGAGACCTCAGAGAGAATCAGAGCCAGAGTTGGGATTTGACAACAAGAGAGTTCTTAGTTTCCAGTCCTGCAATCAGATTGCTAAGGGATTTTAGAAGCTGAAGCTGCCAGCAATGGGGCCAGTTAGTGCCAGCTGTGACAGTGGCTTTGTGACCAACTGGATTGAGGCCACCAAAGTCAATGGTCATCATTACTAATTACTACATGAAGTTATTACTAATCTCTAGAAGTTGTCATTTTAACAAATTTAATACTCCAAGCCTGCCCTTGTGAAGTATCCAGCACCACTGTGGTTATAAAACAAACAAAAAGGAAATACATAGCAAAAAGCCTAAAGGATAAAAAACTCCTGGACATCAGGACCCATTCATGGAATTTTTGCTTCTCCATATTCAGAGTCCATCTCCCAAATTGTTTTCTGAGGAGTAAGTGAAAAAGAGCTATATTGCAAGAGGGCCAGCACAGAGTGTTTCACTTCCTATGTTCCATTCAACAGTACGATAAAAGCAGCTCCCTTCTTTTAGATCCTAGCTTTTGCTGCGACTCATGAATTAGCACTCTATTACGATTCACTCATTTGCATTTTGTTGTATAATCTCAGTGCCTATCATCTGATTTTAGATACGGTTTCACTCAGATTATAAATAACTTGTTATAGCTCATTTCACTGTGTGGGTAACAGTCATTCAAACATCTTGCCCAAAGCAAGGCTGTGTTTGAATAGCAGAAGATAATGAATGTTTTAATACATGTACACCCCTGACTTTGGATTTCCACTAGAGCAGAATTTGGACCCCAATTTGAAAGGGCTCATTGAAAAGAAAGGAACAGACTGTGTTCTGCTTTTATTGTTAATTCCTGGGGATTCCAGTGCTGATGTTTTCTCCTGATCAGTCTTCCAGTTAGCAATATTTCAGGTCTCTCTCACACCTTCCCCTCCACACTCTCCCTTCTTTGTATGGAGGATGATCTGTAATCTCTTTAAATTCAACTGAACTCTTATAAAATGTGCTGGGTTTATAGCTCTGGAGACAGAAGTCTTCTACTTATCCACAGAACAGGCAGAGTGCAGGTAGAAAATGCATAAGCCTCCCTACATTCCCTCTCTTGCCATAGTGCCTCCATCCTGACCTGGAGGGACCAGCTCTGTAAATGAAGATAAAGTTCAGTCTTCATGGACCATTCAATCCTTGGCTTCTCCACGGAGGCAACTGGAGCCAATCATGGTGGCTTTTGTAGGCCTTATCTTCTGGAAAATGAACACAAACCACCACACTTTTTTCACAGGTCAAAGAGCCATCAGACTGCAATGATGTGCTCAGTTTTCAGGCAGGGCTGAGCACCTATAGCTCCCCTTGAAACCAATGGGTGCTACAGGTACTCGGCACCTCTGGGGGGGAAATTCAGGCCCATAATTCTGAGTTTTGTTACAAATCCCCCATCCTCAGATTTTTTTTCAGCTGTTCAGATAGACAGACTGCTTCCAATCTATTACAAGAATCCCTGTGTGTGCACGCACGACCGCAAAAAGAGTAATAGGTTAGATCCAGCCTACCTCTTTCTCACTATAGGAAATGTTTCTGATACCACTCCATTCAAAAGACTTATTTGGAGAGAACCTGTTATTTATGTTGTAGACATGAATACCTTTAGCATCAACTCCAAGTAGGAGATCTGTGTCACTCTTATTTTGCTGCAAAGGAATACAATAAATTACGACCAACATCATTTTGGGTGGCATGTACAACCACACTCCAGCAACTTGTTTATTCTAAGCAATGTATTTGTATATTTTAGAGGCTAGTGTCTCCACCATATACGGGGTTTATTAGTCTACTGCCACCTCTAGCTAACAGGCGTGGTCCTTTAGCTTAGCCAGTAGAAGCCCATAGTTTTAGATCCAGAGATCCCAGGCTCAGTCACCATAGGTGACCTCACTAGGGGGTCATCACATGCAGATATCAAAGACCTTTTACAGACATTACATAATTAAGCCTAATAGTTCTATTCACAGGAACTTATTGTATTTATTTTGCAGACTAGTAAGCTGAGAGAGAGTAGTGTGTCCATGACCACATGGCCAGTCAGTGGCAGAGGTGGAAATAGAACCTATGAATCCTAGTGCTAACTCCCCTGCTTCAAGTATCAGGAAACACTGGCACTAACTGGGCTGAAGATTTAGAATCAGTTAATCTATGGCAACTAAAAATACAGCTTAATAGGATACACTTACAGCAATAGGAAAGTAATTGACACCATACATCTCCAAGTCCTGAGCAATTTTCAAATAGTTCATCTTTGCTTCATCCCTAGAAAGCACAGGAGTGATTACACCTGGAAATTCAAGTAAATTCCAACCATTTTCCTCTCCTCTAATTTTACATTACTATTTTGAAGAGAGCAATCCTAAACAGGTGACTTGATCTTTTGCTCCTTTGTCATTTGGTTTACTTGCGCTTAAGTTTTGCTGTACAGCTTTTAAGATCTGCACTGTTAAGTTCATGATCTATTGCTGACAGCTTAACCAGTGCAGTCTACTCCAGATGACCAGAGTAAAGCTTTACCAACCCTGTTTGAGTCACATATAGTATAACCTTTACCCATTACTGGTAACTGGCTCTGATCTCATCTCTGCGTGTCAGTTTTGCCTCTTTCAGATGTTCACAGATGCCACTGGCTAGAGACCTGTGTCATGGAAGACAATGTTAGAGTAGGAGTTTTCCCCTCAGGAAGTGGTTCACTGAGAAGTATTGCTGTAAGAGGCTCCATACAATATTATGCACTAAAGTCCAAGAGATACACCGAAGCGGTCCTTTGACTAACAGAGAACTTCTTCAGCCACTGATCAACATAATTGCCAATCCCCTTTCAAGGCAGGCAAAATAATAAATATTGAGGAGAGAATGTTAATGTGCATCCAGGGCAGCTAAATAAAGAAAAAATGAATTCAGACAACTTGGGCTAGATCAACTCCACATGCCTAAAACTCTTACTGAGTTTTATTTTATTGCCAGACATGTTGAGTACATCACTGTTAGTTGTATAAGCCCTGGAACATGAACATGGAACAGCACCAAGACAAACCCCATGATTCTTGCACAGGTGATGCCCCCCCTTTCCATCTTGGTTCCTAGCTAAATAGACTCGTGCCTCTATAATCCTAGCAATTTCTCTCATTTCCTTAAGTAGGTATGAGATATATGAGGTTCATTCTCTGTAGCTTAACATGGGGCCTGGTATGGTGTGCCTCTGAAACAGGGCCTCAACCCCTCCATTGGCTTCAATGCAAGTTGAAGGCACTAAGTCTATCTCAATTGCTCAGCACCTGGTATGAGCAGGATCTTAGGACCAAAATATTGTATTTTTCCATTCAGCAATAAACGTTCCTATTAGGAATACAGTGTTGATAAACCAACATAAATGGGGTCAGATACCCATCCGATGACTTATAACTAAAACTCCACTGAAGTCAAGTGGGTTGCACTGATGTAACAGATATGTCTATGATCTCCCAAGAGATGTTACAGTACCTGGCAATACCCCTGTGCTCTGCATACCAAGCCGATATCTTTTCTTCCCACATATCTGCTGTCATCTGATATTGCCGGAGGACCTACAGAACAGGGAAGGATTTGGTTTTCTTTTGAACATATGAAGACATGTGCTGCCAATGGCGTTTACCTCCTGCAGCTCCCAAACAACACAGTGTATAAGGGTCAACAAAATTCACAGCTGGGACTTGTTACCAAGTTCAGAGAAAACACACACACACAGTGTGAATTCCTGAGGTTACAGCCAGCCCCACGAAAACATTTGATTCTTCATGCAGCTAAAAATATTCATGTTCAGGCATGGGAAATACTTACTCTTTTGGGTAACAGCTCTTCTTGGGCAAGAAAGCCTGGCTCATGAAAATTCGGGTCATAGTCACCATACTGTCACAGGAGAAGAAAACACACTTGGTTAAATACCTGCAGAATGCTGGAGAATTTGGTAGCTGGACAACTTTTGTCTAGAATGACTGCCTCAAGGGGGAAATACAGTCCAAGTAAATGGGCTTTGTACAGGGATCCCTTAGATGGGTTTGGGGTATGGAATTTGTCGTTAGTCCATGGCCAGGGCATGTGGCTTCAACAAGCCACTGTTCTAGCCAATGGACTGAAATACTAGGCACAGCCCCTTGCAGAAGTTCCAGTCTGTGAATCCATGTAACTACAGATCCAGTGACTCCTTCCCTGTCCCACCCTCCCACATCCTTCTTCACCTCAGCTGATTCAGACACAACAAGGAGCCCACTTCAGCTGCATTCTGGAGATGTGGTGGCTTTGCCGGCTCAGCTATTCCTCCTGTACAAATACCCACACATGGCTACTGCAGTCAGCAGTGCAGAGGGCTTTGTGCTGACCTTCTGCCATGGGGCAATTTTGACCCCTGTGAGGATATGGTGGCCTCTGATACTTAAAGATGCTGAATGTCCTCAGTTCCCATTGATTTCAGTAGGAACTGAGGGCACCAGCCACCTGCAGGATCCATGGACATCTTTTAAAGAGCCAGGAATAATTTTACATTTTAATATAAGCTTATACCAAAGTCCTATATACAGATTTTCAGGATCAAGATATTCACATGCTCGCACTCTGCCTCTTAGTGCAATACGACAATCCAGAGAACAGGATCTAATTTTAGTCCTCTTCCTTGTTAAAAACAATGTAAAATAGCAAACAAGCCTCTCTCTCCCTAATTGCAAGTAATTATATACAATATAACTCTTCTCTTTCTGCAATACCTCCATGTCCCCAGTTGACCTACTTTCTTCACAGCAAAGTTTAAGAGTATTGTATGCAGAAAAGGAGTACTTGTGGCACCTTAGAGACTAACCAATTTATTTGAGCATAAGCTTTTGTGAGCTACAGCTCACTTCATCAGAAAAGTACTCCTTTTCTTTTTGCGAATACAGACTAACACGGCTGCTACTCTGAAACCTGTCAGTATTGTATGTGTTAGTTAAACCTATATAATCATGTTTGATAGAAATTAAATAAAAAGAAAATGCACTTGTGTACTAACCTTAGCCTGCACAGCATAAGAAGCCAATAAAACTGTAGCCTCTGGAGAGCAGTAGATTTCTTCATCCAATATCTGTTTCTTAACCTAAAGATGGAAAAACAGTACCAAGTTATGAAAGACAATCCAAAATCAGGACTTAAACTAAGTTTGAAGTGAATCAAACCAGCCCACCACAGCCTGGCACCAGAAATTAACAGTTATGAGATAACAACAGCAACAACAAACAAAAATACACTGTAGAAACACAGGATATTCAAAGTTAAGGTTAAATGTACAGGAAACCAAGACCTTTGAAAATCTGGAAGTCACAGTTAAAGTAGTTTGGCTATCCCCACAGAGATACCAGTCGTCAGCTATCTACCCTGTCTTGCAGATGCTGTATTGAAAAAGTGTACTATAGAACATGAATTTTATCATTTGTTTCATGCACACATACCCAATACTAAGTGAAATAATTGCTCACCATGCTAACTTGCACACTTTTCATCGACCTGCTCTAATCTTATGATCCAGGGATATGAAGCTTTTATAGAGAAACACACTAGCTTGGGGTCTAAAGACATGTGACTAGTTGGATGACACACGAATCATAGGTGGTGAGCACTCTCCGAAGATCAGGACCTTAATGAAGAGTGAGGAATGATTGCCTTCCATATGCTATTTGTCTATTCAGGAATTTGGCAGATTTGTGTGCACATATTGTATATGACCATAGAGAAGGTCAGAAAGATGCTCAACCACTGTATGAGTAAGATGAAAGTATCCTACTTTTTTAGATCAATGCTAAAATGAAGGCACTTGTTTTGGATGGATAAAGTACCATATAGTAGCACATGTTGCTTATTTTCTCAGCACTTCATTACTGGCACAGAGTTAAGGTCGTTTGGCTACTTTAACTGCAAATTTCCATGCTGCCAAGGGTTTGGGTTTCTTGTGAGTTTCATCTTAACTCTGGCCTGGTTTTCTTAAATTTGAATTTTCTCTTAACTCAAATGTTATTGAAAGGTAATGCGCATTCAAACCACTAATATACGCCTCTAGCCTTCATTTCACTTTAACCCAGTTTTTTTCTGTGTGAAAATAAAAACGGGTCTACCTTACAGTAGATAAAAGGTGCTTTACAAGAGCAAAATATCATCAGAGATCATCTGAGAATTACTGAAATACAACATTTTCCTGGAAAACAAGTGTTCAACTAGAGATCAAGGGCCCAATTCTTATATATACAAAGCCTACTTTATACCACTCCAGCAGCACCAACAGGCCTTCATTGCCAGGCCCCTCTATGCTGCCAGAGTGGTATAAAGCTCCCTGAATGTAAATGAAAATTATGTCTTAGAAGTAAGTGTTAAAACTGAAGAAACATTTTAACAGCAGTAAGAAAACCCAATGAAAATATAATACTCAGTTTGCTTGACATCACAAATTCTTAAAATTTTAAAATGGCAAGAGCAGGTTTTTTTCCCATAAGTGCGAGAAAAATGTAAGGGAGAAGCTTTCATTACTGTGAATCTGGAATCATCAGGTTTACTCATTATGCCACATTCATATATGCAGAATGAATCACGACTCTCTCTCTCTCACCCATCTATCTGGCACTCAAGCATATATATCCAGGGGAGAAGCGATAACACATCTTGCTTTTACCATTAAAAAAAGTGAGCCAGCTCCTCAGCTACCATAAATCAGCATAACAACTTAATTGTCTTCAGAAGAGCTACCTCGATTTGCACCAGCTGGGAATCTGGCTCACTATATCTAAAAAAGGCTCTAGCAGGTAGCTTAGGCCAAAAGTTTAAATTTTGTTTTAAAAGAGGCTTACAAAATGTAAAGTTAATAGAAATGTTCTCAAATGTAAAAAAATAAAATAAAAAATGCTCAATTAATACAGTTCTGCAGTGCCTGAAGCTCAAACATTGCAACATTGGACTAGTGAAGGAGAACCACAATGTAAAACTGACTAGTAAAATAGTGAAACTAACAAGTGTTTTAGTTGACCAGGCAGAGCCAAGTGCAGAAAGTTCAGGAGGAAAAAACAGCATAAATGGTAAAAAGTTAAAATATCTAACATTTTTTCCATTTTAATAATCTAAGCTGATATTAGTAACACAAGTACTAACTTGAGGGGTTTTGTTTGTTTTAAATCTGATTTTACCCAATAATTTAAAGGAGAAATGCAGCATAATATTCACAAATAGCCCTCTCAAATGCAAATGAGTTTAACCTAGAAACAAGTCTTGAGGAATTTATAGCCTTAAACACTTCCAAAATGGAAGGAAGGAATGACCTGAGGTAACTCGGTTATCTTTATGAATATCCATTGGGATAGCAGATTCTGTGAACTGAAATGAATCCTCAAGGAAGGATTTTTATTATAAAAATTTATTCCTTTGGTGAGCACAATCTGTGAATGTGTGTTATAGTGCAGGGGGAAACTCATTTCTAAGATGCTAAAATGGAAAGAATGAAAAGGTTTTTCTTCAAAATTGCAGCTTTCATGTTCCATGTTACAAATCACATCTTTCACAATTGAAAATGACCTTGGACAAATTCTATACACGTCTTTGGGATTTTGAAATTAAAGAATTACAAACATGAATTGTTATACTTCTTTAGACAGCAGATTGTTCATTAGAGATCAACTGAGAAAGTTATGAAGAGTTTTAGTCATGTAGTTTTATTCACACATATGGCAAAATGCTATTATGCCACATTAATATTTAGACATTTCAGTAGTCTATAAAGCTGAAATCTGTAGGCATGCGGATGTCTGTACATGTTTTTCCTATTAGTATCCAGGTGCAATCTGGTTCTTATGGCCAGGAAACTCTGCAAGTTCAAATTTGTTTTTTGCCATGTCTTTCTACTTTGGAATGAGAAGAATTACACTAATTGCATATCTGAAAGTCAAAGCTAGTCAAGGCAGGTTCAAGGGGAAAAAAAAACAAAAGCAAAATGAGGATTAAAAGAAAGGCAAAGAGGAGAGTTTTTGTCCTGTCATCTCTTTCCTAAATGACTCAAGAAACCAGCTGTCAAATGGTTAAAAGAATCCAAGTGGAAGAACAGTTCCTTAGAACAATGGCATTTGTCCAACTACTTGATGAATTAATACCTGCCAGGAAACAAGTATATCTGCTGTGCTTCTATATTTAATATCATACAGCATATAGACAATCATATTCTATGCCTCCAACCTCCTTTGCACAGACATTCAAGTTCCAAAAACAAGCAGAACTGCCATGGTCCTGCTACAAAGAGGAACCCATCTGTTGAGAGGCAGATGGAGCAGTAGATAGAGCAGTGCCCTACAGTGGCTCTGTACACAATAGCAGAAACGTGGGGCTGGGGCAGGCCAAGGAACGGGCAGTGGTTCTATGAATAATTGGCCAAAACCTCCATGCATGGTGCATAAGAAGGGCTATTATAGCAGCTGTGGTGTGACAACATGGTTTCTCTATTCCAGGTTGGGGAAGGTTTTGAGCTCACTCATCTCTATGTAGGTCCCCAAGCAAAGCCTGTTAACTTAGCATGAGACACAAGAATTTGGCCCATAGTGCACAGCATCCACAGGATTACCAGAACCTTAGAAGTCTCCAAGACAAGCATAATGGAAATGACCAACCCTAGCAATTCAATCAGAAAGGCAGCTCTGCAGAGCTACGAGCTCTAATGTACAAGTAGAATTTATTTTAGTTTTTTAGCACCATCCATCCAGAGATCTCACAGCGTTTAACAAATACTAATTAAGCCTCACAGCACCACTGAGAGGGAGACAAGTATTACAATCTCAATTTTTAAGAGGGGAAACTGGGGCACAGACCAGCTAAGCAACTTGCCCAAGATCATTTAGGGTGTCAGGAGGAGAAAAGAACACCAGAGTCCTGACTTAAGAATTCTGCTCTTACAACTACTGCACTGTGCTTCTGAAAACAAACAGCTCCCCTCTTAACAGTTATTGAAGTGCTGGAAATTATTCCATTCTCTCCTGGCAAAACCACAATTTTACTTCCTAATGCAATCAACCCCATTGCAGGGTGTCACCATGAGTAGGGTCAATTATACTTCTGTGAGCAGTGGGATTCCATTAAATTCCCAGGGATGGGAAACACAACTCCAGTTGGCTGGCAGAAGTTAGGAGCATGCAAGGTGCCAGAGGACTTCTGAGTATCCCTGAATTGCTATCCAGAGAAACAAATATAGTATATTGGTGCTGTTGTACAGTAAACAGGGTATATGGTTTGCTTGATTTGAAGAGTTAAACCAGTCCCAAGCTTGGCTTATCTGTAATAAATTTGCAAGAGATTTAGGTCAAAAGTATGCTGAGCCCATTGATTTGTTTATATAAATTACCTGTTTATCCCAATAAAATTTAAGAGTTTGCCAGACAGCCTGTATTTCCATGTCCAATTTTGTGCGTTTTACATGTGATTGAACATTAAATCCATAAGGGATTCCTGGAATCTTATGCTGCTGTCCCAACAGATTTTCAAAACATATATTCAGGGCAGACTTTCTAGGTATGAAAACTGACAGATACAATCAGAAGAATGAAGTTGCATTCTCAGCCCAAGGGTAGAAATCCAGGAAGCTGAGCAAAAGAGAGAGAAACAGGCAGCAGCAACAGGGACTACAGACACTGATTTGCTAAGCTGGTCTGATCTTGCCTTCAAACAATTGAGAACCCCAGAGCTCAGAAGATTTACAGACCAAAGAACTGGAGGGTCTTAAAAATTTTATGGAGCTGTTCATATTTCCTGGTTTTGCTGTGTTTCTTCCTTCTCAGCCCAGCCAAGTAAAAAGCTTCTCCAAATCTCCCTGGCTCTGCTTGAAGGTTTTACACACACACACACTCTCTCTCACCCTTGCTGAGGAAAAAATAGGTAATTAATAATGATGAATGAACCTTGAAATACTCAGAGGTTATGTTCACATGGGATTAACACCCAAAACACTGACTGCTTGATTCACATTCTGGACTGTAAGTCCCAGCAGCTGTAAATCCACCTGTAATAGGGACACAGCAACACAAGCCACCAGGAGACCCAAAGCTGGTGTAGCCCAAACAATGGGTAAGTCCAGTCTAATAAGGTGAGTGAGCCCACTGACCAGGAGAGGAGACTATTATTATTGATTCCAACTAGGATATCCCACAGAAACACAGCAGCTTGCCTGCTATGGGCAGCATCACACTGAGGACTAAACTACAGACACAAACAAAGAGAAGACAAATCATGAAAAGGGATGGGATGAACAGAGCAAAAGTTAACAGTTAAAAACTGCCTCCTGACCTGCAAGAAGAATAGGTGCTGGGTAATTTCCTGTAATAGCTCCTCTTCCACTTTCTCTGGATAAAATTTAGCCAAAAACCGAAAGCTAACAGGGTCTTCTTTGGGGATTTCTTGATCCAAAACCTATTTTAAAATAAGCATTAGTAGAAGCAGCAGTGAAAATGGTGCAGATATGCCTCAGAACACAATTCCAGACATCAGTTAGAAAGCAGCAAGCATTTGAACCAAAGCAACCCTTTCAGATTTGAGCACGAAGGACATTGCTGACTCTAAATTTAACACTATGCATTATGGGCCTTATGCAGCAATCATCTGGTGAAATCCTAAGGCTTATTTTATGTAGCAGATCAGACTAGACTATCACTATGGTCCCTTCTTAAAAATCTAGAAATCACAGGTCATCACTAAACATATGAGCCTTTACCTCTTGAGCTGAAGTAGTAGCTCCTGTAGGAGTAACCTAACTGAAAGGAGGTTGACAGTTGCTGTTTTTACAGGCTAATTGTTTTCAATACCTTTTTATCCATCTTTAACCAGGTGTACATTCCTTTTATTGTGTATTGCAAGCCAAAGAACCAAGTTTCTCTTAGTCCTAATGCTCGGCACACCAAGTCGAACAAGTCCTTTCCCTTCCACTTCATCTAGAATGAGAATGAAGAGAAAAAAAAAAAGACAATGGATTTTTCAAATGTTATCTTAATGAGGTGCTCTCAGGCTGGTTTTCTAAAGCATAGGGGATTAACCAGGTCATGGTTTGCTTTCTTCCTGAGAACTGCATTTATCTCATCTTTTGCTTTTCAAATAAATGTGTCACTGTTGCCTAGTGGTCAGAGGAAAGGCTCAGAAGCAAGGCCCAAGAGCCAAGTCTTCTTGATGTCTCTTCTAAACTCTGCCAGATTCACAGTGAAGCTTTTGAGTACGTCACTCTCTATCCTGCATTTTACTTACATATAAAATGGAGATGATGCTACATTGCAAACTTTTATTAATAATTTGTAAAGTATATTTAATAATTCATGCAAATTGGAGAGATTGGGGCAGGTGTGTTGAAGGGAGGCCCAAGCCTAGAAGAACAGTAATGCATAAAAATCATAGGGTAAATCCATCCTTGATGTAACTCCATTACTTCAGAGAGTTACACCAGACAGACTTGACCCCTTAACTATACAGGCTCTGATCTTACTCCCATTCAAGTCAATGGGGTTGGCCACTGCCTTCATTGGGATAGGACTGATCCCACAATAGAGGCAAGATTTGTTGTATCCAGGAAAAAAATGTAAAAACATAGTCTAATGATAGACCTAACATAGATATATGATTAGTTAGTTTGCTAGGCTAGCTCCGTGTAGGAAGAAGGTTTTGATTAAAGGACCTGAAGTTCTCTCACACAGTCACATAGATGTGCAGCCTTTTCAGAGGAAAAAAAATAAAGCTGTTTCTCCTGTTTGGCTGGGTGTTACAAGAGTTGCTGTCTAATAATGTGGGTCAGGATCCTGAGAACTTAATGGCAAAAAAAGTGAATTTATGAGTAATATTTGGATGGGGAGAAGGAAATCATCCCAACAACAAAACCAATATTTTGCAAAGGAGGGGGAAGAGAATACATTACATTGAATTTAACAAGGTTCCTGAGCTGTAAGCAATATTCCAAAATCCTTTATTTCTGTTAATCTGACAAAATTATTTTAGATCAATGTGTAACAATATATGACCTGTAACTAGGTTATTTGATCTTTGGGTGACTTCTAAAAACCAAGAATTATGTAACAATTCACACCCAGAACAGACAATCCCAAACAAGATTGCCAGCTCCCACAATGGCAAATTCATTCAGCCCATACCAGTTCTAAATTTTCACCTTTAATTTTTAAATAAAATCATTTCCCACCCTTTTTTGCTACTGTTGATTTAGTATGTGTTGACCAGCTAGCCAATCTCTGTATTTCCTCCACAGTAAACCCAAATTCAACCAGTGACTGGTCATCTAATGCATTACTCTCTTCTTTTGCAGCCTGTATTTCTTGATTTTGTTTACGGGGGAGTCATAACTAGCAGAAAGAAAGAACTAGCTGGTGTGTCCAGATTTGTCCCCCGCCCCCATAAAAAGCTTCCCCCACGAAAAAACAAAACAAGAGCTTTGACATTCTAAAAGTCATTCTGACTAAACAAATATACTTGAGCATGGTAAACGTTTTTAAATCCAGAAAACAAGCAGGCACCTTTGAGGATAAAGTCTTAATTCCCAACTCAAATATGCATTCTGCAACTTGTAAAATAAATTACAGGCCCTGGACCTGCTCAGCACCCGCAACTCCCATTCAAGTCAGTGGGAATGGACCACAATCAGCACCTTACAGGACTATGTCATTTGTACAAAGATTATATATGTGCACCCACACTGATATTTACAAGAGGTCCTTGTATTGCACACCAGTCTGACTAGGATGAAAATCAGACTGAAATCTCTCCAGCTGGCATAATGCCACTTTAGCTGTACTGTGGTGCTACAATCAGAAATTAATTTTACTGAGGTAGTTTTAGGTTTTTACTGAGCATATGAAGTCAAGGGTGCATAACAGAACATGTTTTCTGAGACAATTAATGGCCCTCACCTTAGGTCTGACCATTTATTTCTTAAATAGCCTATTAACGGAGGACTTTAATGGATACCCATTACAGAGTGCATGCCTTGATTAATTCTTTACATGTACGACTGTCCTTTCACATATACCATCTCAGTGTACTTTAAAAATGAACATTTAATAAGTTAATGCTACTAATCATTACCTATATATGTAGGGCAAGGTCAGTGGCAGCACAGGCTTCCTTACACTGCCCCGTCGGCATGCCTCCACCATGAAGCTGGAGGGACCTACTATAAGGTTGTGGGTAGTTCTGTCTATTCAATCCTTGGCCTCTCTGCTGAGATTCCCAAGGTGTCAAAAAAAGTGGTTTTGTAATGTGGACACTTATCCATTGGGAACTGGACTGAGACCACCCAACTTACTTCACACAGGCCACTGAACAATCAATACATAGCAATGCCTTGCAGGCAATACTGACCTAGGCTGGGTTCAAACCAGCTCCCTACAGGTGAGAGACTATGGGTCTGATTCTCAACTGTCCTGCACCTCATGTACCCATTTACACCTGTACAAAATACACATGAAATGCTAGTAGATCGGAATCCCAGGTGTATGTGACTACACAAGGTGCAGGACAGTGGAGAGGCAGGCTCAAAATCCCATTACCAATCCCATGAGCCATCCAGTCCCCTGATTAACAATTATTTTTCCAAAGCCTGTTTGTGGTTGTATTCAGAATTGTCCAAGTCAGACCTTAGTAACATGGAGGATGTAAGTTCTCTCTCTCTCCTCCCACCTCCAGGAAACTTACCTCACAGCTGAACTCCATTTCAGCATCCATGGTTATAACTTTCACTTTAAAAGTCTTAGGTTGCTTCTTCTTCAGCCCCCTGATGGACATTTTATCAGGACAACTGCAGCTAGAATTGAACAAGAGTAACATTAACAAAAGTATACATTTAAATACACAATTTGGGGCTGCAAATCTACTTTCTGGAATAAAATAGTAAATCCCAATATAAAATAAGTCTGATCTAGGGAAAGGAGGAGGAGGAGGAAATCACTCTTTATTATGAGCTGTCTCTGTATGTGATAGCATACCTGGAAATGATAGAAAATCCAGACCATAACCAAGAAAGGAGATTAAGATTTTACGGTACAGAAGCAATTATTTATATGAGTAAGTCTCCAACTTTTCCTCCAATTCGAGCAAACATTCAGTCCCACCATGGCAAGGGCCAGTTGTCTGCTTCTTATCACATGTGAGACACGCATCCCCAGATCCAGTCCCACAAGATACTGAAGTGCTCCCTTCCTCTGTTGCAGCATAAATGTCAGAGTACAACAAACTACAACATCTCACTATTGTGTTGTAATAACACAAATATGACATTTATCTTGTCTCTTTACAGACCTAGACAAAATTCTCCTTAACAAGACAGGATCTCTGTTGCATATGCCATACTCTTTGAGCACAGAACTGCTGCTGACATCAATGGAAGCTGTGTTGCAGAATATGAAACGAAAGTACGCACCAAAGAGCAGAGATCCACAGCGCTGACCAGAGAGGACTATTTTACCCTTAATCATTCTCTGCCTTTTACAGAGGATGCCCTCATCTCATTGAGACATGTGCAACAACATATGCAGTGAATAAATTGCATTTTTACACTTCTCTAGGATATATATTTAAAAGATCAGTTAAGTCTCATTGATGTAAGGTAATTTAAATATTTATTTTCACATCAGTTCTTGTGATGTGAGTTTAGTTCAGTTTTGCATAAGCCCACATAATATATATTTTAAATACAGTTGACTGAGTACTTTCTATAAAACTATATGGAAAATGTGTGCTATTTCCATAGCCGGATGGTTTTGTGGATTCTAGCCCAACTAAACGTTGCAAGCAGTGGGCTCGGCAGTGGGACATGGATCCACACTATGCTGTCCTCAGATGTTATAAGTGTAGGAAAGTAATCCATAAAGTTTTGTTCCATAAACTAAAAACAAGTATTAATAGCTTTGATTTGAAACATACACAGCCTAGTTAACATGTGAGGGCAATATAGGCCAAGAAGAGACCCAGAGTTCTTGGTTTCCTACAAACTAAGGCTGTTCTTATAGTGTGGCTACCCTCAAATCTTGTCTTAAAAAAATTCCTAAATAAGAACCCAGTTTAAATTGAAAAGGTCCATTTGTCTGAACTTCCCAGTAATTTATAAAGCACCTTTGTCTCTTTTTTCCTCTTCTACTGAGCAGTAAATTGGCAAAGATGCAAAATAAATGGAAAATAGTGTATTTCAACCAAATATCTCAAGCACATGTGCGCGCGCGCACACACAGAGGCACACACACACACACTCACTCTCTTTTTACTGATGGAAGCACAGAAGCAAAGAGCAGGTCAGTAAGGTACCCAAGGTCACACAAAAAACAATGGCAGAGTTGGGAATAGATTCTCAATGAAGAATTCATCCCTGCACCAGCACTGAGACCACTGCAGAAATCATGGGGACGTGGCTCACACTCTCCCAATCCTGAGGCTGCTGGAGGCTGGTTTAAACTCAGGCACAGATCAGAACTGCCAAGGTGTGCCTTGGCTATAAAGCCGACTAGTGTGGTTGAGGAACAGCTGGGACGCAGCTGTGCCCTAGCCAAACCCTCTCACTCACACCTCCAGAACAATCCCTGTACTGGAAGTATTTTCCTGGAGGGGTGCAATCACTTTTCACCAATCTAACCGATGCAAATTCTCCACAGGGCAATTGGAGCCTGCATTCTAACCACTACAGCATACTGCCTCTGTATTTAGTATACAAAGTTGTACTTCTGTCAAAGGTGACATTAACATTTTGCCAGCTCAGCCACCATCCTAAGTCTCAGTAAGGATCTGAACTGAAGCTATATGAAAACAGTTTAATTACTTTGATACCTTTTTAGGCCCCAATCCACCAAGCTATTCTAGATGTGACCGTGCACATGACAGTAATAGTACCTTTGTGTGTCTAGTATATTCAAAAGGACACTCCCACACATCTTTTCCTTTTATAAAGGTAACTAATACTTCCACAAAGTACAACACATACAGAGTATTACAGAAGATGTACTTAGCACTGGTACAGGAGATGACAGTTAGATGCCGGTGGAACCAAAGTGAAACAGGGGAATGAAACCTTCTACCCCCCAATCCTGCAGAGACAGAGAATCAGTAGCTAGAGACAAGAGAGCAAGTAGTTACACAATCTGTTTTTAATGTATACTTTGAATTCACTAATCCAAGGGTTCTCAAACTTCCTTGCACCAAGAACCCCTTCTGACAACAAAAATTACTACATGGCCCCAAGTTTTGAAATGTCAGAATTTCTCACTAAATGAAATTTCCTAGTTTCAAGCAGACCTACTCTGAGGAACGTAAGAGGAGAGCTTTTCCACATTAATTAATCCAAGGACCCACTGCTGATTTTCTTCACACCAGTTTAAATCCAGAATAACTCTCCTGAACCCTAATGGAGTTACACCTACTTAAAACCCTTGTAAGTGAGAGAAGAGTCAGGCCCTTAGCAACAAAGAAATCTTTTTCAAATAAAAGAAACCGTGCAGGCCAGCATAATCAGGTTTTGAAATCCTTTGTGAAATACAAAATGGCAAACAGTGTCAAGTCTTCTTGCTAGTAATAACCACTTTGGACTGTGAGTCATGGGAAACTTGTATCAAGATACAATCTCCTTCATTGAGTTCCAATGATTTATTTAGGAAATTCCCAGAGAGACAGAAGCTACAAATTTTGATAAACTGAAACATGTAATAATATTTAGTAAATAACAATGCAACAAGCCACAGCAGGTACATAGAGAGGGTGAGGTGAAAAACATAGTAACTGGCTGGATAGAAAATTATTGACATTTTAGAGCCAGGGAACCATGGAGAAATGGTGAATTTTCAGTTCTTCCTCCTCCCCCTCATAATTCATTGAGGAAAGACATAAGCTCTGCTTGAAAGGTGGAAATAGAAATGTAGTGATCTAATATAATTACTGGAACAAAATTATTATGGCCCCACCTTTCACCATGTTCACTGAGGAAAGCGGTTTGCTAAGCACTCTGAACTTTCAGAACCCAAGCAGCCACTCCTCACTGGACTGCAGTCCTCTTCCTGCCTGGTACAGTCCGTGGACAAACCCAGAAACTAGCACCTGGACCAAGGGATCAGGATGAAGAACGATAAAGGAAAATAGCAGCAGGAAGAACTGGCAAGGCAACTCTTGCAGGAGTGTTGCAAAGATTACAGTTTATTTATACATCACATAGGTGTGCACTGCACTTTACAGACATATAAAACAGAACATGTCCCTGCTCTGAAGAGCTTATCAAAAGTGTAAACAATCCAGATAATTAGACTTATGACATCAACCTAAACCAGAATTGGAAAGAAAATGGAATCAGTAATCCTGCTGGTCATAATATAGCTACCAGAGGTAATTAAATTACCGAAACCAGGATATCAAAAGATCTCAACCAAGGCCACTGTAATTAACCCTCCCAAGAAGCTGAGTTTTATTCAACTTCAATTTAGTACTACCAAGCTAAGTGGATTGTTCATGAGACTGTATATGGGATATAAAGGCTTTCACGTACATGGCACTTGCTTTAATCCAGCTCTGGCTGATATGGATAGTGAGTAAAAGTGTTACAGTCTGGATCACAATTTGGGAGTCTCAGTCCAAATCCCTGTGTGTGCATCACACACCCCCAAGTGGAAGAGCATCCACATGTGTGTGTGTGAGATGCACACACATCTCCTTCTTTAATTGGCAACCTTGTTTTCTCATCAGATAAGCCAAGAAATGAATGAGCCAAGAAGGGTCATCTTTTAATTAGGATTACTTAATTCTTTCAGATTAGGATTCAAGCATTTTGGTGGGGCAGTGACGGTGCTGTATGTGGTTGGCAGATTACCATGAAAGTCTTCAGGCATGTCCGATAAGCTCTTTTCACAAGCACCAAATTTGTGCCTCACAGGCACCAAAATAGTGTTTAATGAATTAAGGTTTGTGAAGCACTTTGAGATCCTGCAGTAAAAGGAGCAGAGTACTTTAAAAGCACTATGTCAGCAGAAACACTGTCTAATTTAAAAGGCTCTTGTCTTCATCATCACTGAAGTATTTACTGCAGCTTTTATTCACAAGTTCCACTGCCTCATCTGTTTTTCCTGTTTCCCAGGTGTCTATACTTTAAAACCAGAAATTAGTGCAAATAAACAGAATGTAGACAGTTAAGAGATAAATGGTGTTTTGTTTCTTTTAGAAATCTTTAAATTAAACGTTTGTCTCTGTGCTCCCCACTCTGATTTGCTTAAATATTATTTTTAACATGTGTGAGTGATATAAATAATTTCCTTACCTCTCAGATAACTTCTCTTGAGTCTAGGTTCTCCAGTTGGAACCAGATTTATTTCCCCGTTTCCGCTCTGAACTAAGATAGGACAAAAAAATTACTTTCAATCCCAAATTCCACATTTTGCAGCACACATCAAGGTCCAGCCTCACTCCTCAGTTCTGTCATTGAAATTAAGATCCAGGCTCATGTTTAATAGTTGCTTCCCTTTCCTTTGTTTCCTATGTATTGCAGCATGTTAGCGCCCTCTGACAAATCAAAGAATTGCTTTCCCAGGTGATATGAATGGCTTTTAACCATTTCCTGCCTGTGCTGGCTAAACTCCTCCCCAATTTTCCATTCACTGCAGTTTAAGCAGCAAGACCTTAAAACATAAGGAGGGCTTCAGGAAGGAGCCTGTAAATCTTGATGCACACATATGTAAAAACTGATCAGACACACTGGAAGAGTGTCACAACTCTTTTAAAGACATTTGATCGTATTATTTTGACAGTATCCCCAGTCACAAAGAGACGCTTTACCTCAAAACTGCCAACCACCTTAAAAAAAGGAAACTGTGCTGTGTACTCTTCTTAGGTAAACACCACCCTGCCTCTTGCTACTTCCTGCTGTGGTGACATGTGAGGCGATGATAAAATCTAGAGAGTAGGACTGTGAAATGGGTAATGGCCAATATATTCACAGACCAAAACTTACCCAGAAACAAAACTGAATGCAGTTCAGCTAGCCCCAAATCTGAGGAAAAGTGAAAGAAATGGGATGGGGGTAACAGTGCCAACGAGCTGCTAAAAGCACGTTGCCCAGAATGCAGAGACTCAACTGCACTATCCTTTGCCATTTTTAGGGCTATAACTCTGCAATTGTGCCACCATAGCTTTGTAGTGTAGACATGTGATACATCAGTAAAAGGGTTTTGCCATTGCTGTAGTTAATCCACCCCTCCCAGAGATAGTTCCATCGACCTTGCAGGATTTAGGTCATCTTAACTACATCTCAGGGGTGTGAATTTTTTATATTTCTGAGCAACATAGGTAGATCAACTTAAGTTTTAGTTGTTGACCAGGCCTTGGAGTTGAGCTACAGTAGAAGTCAATTTCTTAAATATCCAAATTCTACTAGGAAATGGATAAGCAAGGACAATAGACCAAACTCCCGTGTCTGTTACACCAATGTAAACTTTTACACAGGTGTAACAGCAAAATTTGGCCCACTGATCTGATTTTGGTCTGAGCATGAGCAGAGGTCCAATAAACCCCTCAGAGAAAGGCCTCTGTCATCAGATTCTGCTCTCCTGAGGTGCAAAGGACACAATTTCACGATAAAACAAAGGGTATTTTATTTAAACAGAGTTCTTAACAGGAACTCTGGTGAAATGGAACAAGGCACCTCAGTTCCTACACCTTTGCATCCTCATCTCCTTTGGGCACCTCTAATGGAAATCCACAAAAGACACTCATAGCTGAATAATGAAAAATGTAATTATGAATAATTTGACAAAATCTTCAGCTCTGTTCATCACAACGAAGAGTTCAACCAGCTCTATTCATACCCATACGTGAGAGGGGTTTTGCGACTGCTTGAACTTTGACTTGACGCGATGCTGACCCCAACGGGAAAGCTGGCAAGGAAAGGTAGGGTTAGAATGGTCCAGTAACACAAGACTGCAGTTCTCCTCTCCGCCGTAGAAAGTAATTCCCTAGTGACAGTACTGGCCAGCGAAGGAAATGAAGAAGACACGACTTCACCAGGGCGGACCACATTGCAGGGGGGTGCACACACAGACTCCTCAACCACCTCGGGAGGTGGCAAAGGGCGGGTCAATGGAAAGTACTTGCCAGAAACACTCCGCAAGAGCAAGCTTATGGTTACATGATGTTCTTGGAAGGCCAGATGAACCATCTCACCTCAGCTTTTGTAACCTCTTCCTCTCTGTCCTTCGCCTCGGGCCGTTCCAGCCGCCCCATTCCCACCACCCCAGTCCAGCCACCCTGCACAACCGGGCCTCCATCCTGCCCCCCCTCCCGAGTAGGCGCACCCCGTTGCTCAGGTGCAGGGGTTGAAGTTGAGCCCAGATTCCCCTTTACTACAAGCAACAGATGTCCCCCCCCTGCTGACTGGGAATGGCTCCCCCTCCCCTGGCTGAGGGGCTGCAGCCTAAGCTCCCCTCCCGTTCCAGCCCATTGTAGCCCCCCTGTGTGACTAAATCTCAGGGTTGGAAGGGATCTCAGGAGGTCATCTAGTCCAACCCCCTGCTCAAAGCAGGACCAATCCCCAATTTTTGCCCCAGATCCCTAAATGGCCCCCTCAAGGATTGAACTCACAAGCCTGGGTTTAGCAGGCCAATGCTCAAGCCACTGAGCTATCCCTGCCCCCAAAGGGAGGCAGGGAGCCATGCCCCTCCACGCTACTCCCCCCCCCAGTGCCACAGCAGAGGGCCTCCCTTTCTCCTCCCCTGAGGAGAGGAACAACGGGGCTGCCGCCTGCATGGCCCCGATGCCTTTAAATGGCCCCGCCCCCTCCTCTACCGCGGTTGGCCACGCCCCCTAGTCTCCCATCAGGGCCAGCCCCCTCCCTTCCGGGGTTGGCTCCGCCCCGTTCCGGCGCCGGCTCCTCCCCCTCGGCCGACGTGAGGTGAGTCCGGGGTGCAGGCGGGTGGGGAGTCGGCTTTTCGCTCCCTGCTTAGCCGGGGGAGCCGGGAGTGCTGCGCTGGCCGAGCCCGTGGGCGGAGCGCGGCCTGAGGCCGCTGTACGGTCCCGGGCCGCTGCTCGGCGCTGGGGTCGGGGGAGCGGCCCAAAGCAGGACCGCTCCCGGCCATGGGGGGCGATAGGGTCTGGGGCTGGCCTCTGCCGAGGGTGGGTGTGGGGGATGGGGCAGTGGGGGGGGTCTAAGGGCGGGGGGGAACTCTGGGGGCGGGATGCTGGCAGGGAGGGAGCTCTGGGGGCTTCTCAGGGCAGGGCCACTACAGCTCCCTTGACTTGATCTTTTTCTCCGTACAGGTTACCTTTCCCGGCGAGACAGCTTCGGCCCAGCTCCTCCAAAAGCACTTAGGTGGTTGACTGCCATTGACCTCAGTGAGAGTTAGGTGCCTAAATGCTTTGTGAGGATCTGGGCCTTCCTGCCTACAGCACTTCCCCTCCCAGTGCATCTCTGATGCCTTATAAACGCTAGTGATTCCTCTTTCACAGCACTCCTGTATCATTATCCCCACTGAGCTAGAGTCACGGAAAATGACTTGTTCCCTGTGTTCACTCAACAAGTTAGGGGCAGAAATAGGGCCCAGGAATCCTGACCCTCAGTCTAATGCTCCAGCCACTAGACCATGCAACTGAGAATTGATACTTTGTTTGCTTGTGAATGTGCAGGGAAGAGCTGGCTGTTAACTCCTGTGTTGAAATGTGCGTTTTTGTTTTGTTTTATCTTGTAGGTATGTGGAGATCACAGTAAAAAGTAGAGAGGGAAGTGTCTCTGGGGTTTTGGAGAGACTCTTCAGCCAAGCATAACATTGCACAAAAGGTGTGTCAGAAAAGAACAATGCTATTTTCTTTCTTTGTCACATTAATTGTTTGTAGCTGGAATTTGCCAAGGTCTGTGTCAAGAAAAATTGTTCATGTTAGCGCCCTCTCGGGCTTGGGACTTCAGATATACATTTATCTACTTTTGTAGTATTTCCTTAAATGTATTATTTACTTTTCTAGTGCTGAGTACTGTAGAAATAAAAGTATGCATCACCTTGTATATATGTATGTAATGTATGTACTTCTGCTTTTGTTGCTTAGTGGGAAATAACTCGCAAAACAATATGGCGGATCAAGAATTCCTTTAGTGTTGATGACTGTCTTTAGCAAAGTTTACTTGAACAAGGGGAACAGGTGTTTACTGAGCTAACAATTTTAACATTGCCCTAGTTTATTTTTATTTCTGAAGACATAGTTTTCCTTTAGTGCTCATCAGGGTAATGTGCAACTGCGGAGAAACTCTTCCCCCCTTTAGAAAACATAAGAATGGCCATACTGGGTCAGACCAAAGATCCATCCAGCTCAGTATCCTGTCTACTGACAGTGGCCAATGCCAGGTGCCCCAGAGGGAGTGAACCTAACAGGTAATGATCTAGTGATCTCTCTCCTGCCATCCATCTCCACCCTCTGACAAACAGAGGCTAGGGACACCGTTCCTTACCCATCCTGGCCAATAGCCATTAATGGACTTAACCTCCATGAATTTATCCAGTTCTCTTTTAAACCCTGTTATAGTCCTAGCAAGACTGGTGTGATAGTCACACACTCTTATTTGCACAGCAGAACTAATTTTAAAAGTAGTCATCTCATGGAATGCATCTGATGTGAGAAAAAAAACATTTAACTTAGTTAACCCCCAGTGCACCTTGAAAGTGTCATGACATCTTTTTCAAGTTTTAGTTTCTGAATTAATAATCATGGAATATACAGACATATGTACAATATTTTTATCCCTAAAACTGTGGAATATTTCATGTAGCAGTTTTTTTGGGGGCTTTTGTTTGTTTGTTTGTTTCTGGGTTTTTTCTGTTCCACATCATTCTTTTCATATGATACAATGTTAGGTAAAATTGTGAGGGGGGTTATAGGGAAGATACCAAAGAAAGGTAAGACAAGAACAGTAATTTGGATATGGATTAGGTTCATATTAACCTAATTAGTTTTTCATTTCTAGGTTATGAATTTGGATCCAGCATTTTAATCGGACGGCTATTTGAGCCATGTAAAATGAACTGGGTGC